AGAAGTAATAACGGCCGGCTCAGGGGATAGAACCCGGAAACCTCCTTTCCCCGTCGATGGCTGTGTACGCGCGTGGCGCACGGCTGCATGTATCGCAGGGGCACCTTCACATTGCGATTGGAACGAGCCGCAGGCGTGTAGTGCCGACGTTTCCCGATCACTGCCGACATGCCTCGAGCCAATTCCTCTCCTGAGAATTCCGATCGTGATTTGATGAGGAACCTACGCGATACCTTGCAATATATTTTCCAGCCGAATATTGATATTCAGACATGAGTTCAAACATCAGCACGGATCCTTAAGCCCGATTGCCCATCGGCCCAACTATGAGAACTTCGGAGACCCCTCCCCCGAAGAGCCCCGCTAGTTAGAGCGTCTATCAAACCAGACGGTTGAGGTGTAAGACTAGAACTAGAGGTGTCCCAAGTTGGTTCGATATTGCCGAGGTCTTCACTTGCCGTATCCCAGAAAGACAGTCCCGATATTTGCAGCGGTGGGATTTGCGGCGAAGATCTTGGGAAGCAGAGCTAACGAAGCTAATGTCGTATCAGGGTTCGGACAGAACCAAAGGAGAAGTTGGTGCGATAGATGCGAGAACGATTGGAGAAGTGATGGCCCAAGTGATGCAAGCGATCAAAAAGGAAGATACGACGGAAATCAGAGAATATTTAACGGGCGGAGGCATCGAAGCAGTCGCTGGTGGAGAAGAACATCGAGCAGAGCGAACAAGAGGACATTCGAGTCGACGAGTTGTCACAACATTTCGAGGGTCTGAACATGTCGATCCAAGCAGAGGAGACGGAGCCGAAGATCAGACAAACAAGAAAGGCGGTTGGGGAGGAATCAAGCGACGATTCTAGAAAAGACGGGGCGCCGAAATCAAAAAGCGAACGGGCCCGAAATCACCAGAAGGTTTAGGTTACACCGCTGATAGGAGAGAGGCTCGAGAACGCCGAAAAGAGGGTGAAGCAAGAGTTCGGCCGAAGCGAACAGTGCATTTTCGAGGCGAATATACTAAGTAGATAGTTAGGCGGAAAAAGCAAGGAGGAAATTAGGAAAAGATGATAAATTAGAGAAAAATATATAGGTGGTAATGTGCCGGTAGGCAGTGGAAAGAGGACGTTCAAGTTGAGGACGACTAGGAGGTAGCGATGGCAGAGCGAGCGGGCGATGCACGCTGAAATCGGTGGAAAGAAGACACCCCCAACGGAAAATAGATCGGAAGGCTCGAATCGAACAAAGCAGCAGTCTTTTCAGCGTGTGGTGTGCTACGAGCCGGTCGACAATGAGCGTGAGCGGACTGCCTGGAAAATCAGCATGAGACAGGGTCGCCGTATTGCAGTGCAAGAAGAAGGCGTGTGTGGAGTGTACGTGCGATGGCGGCGGAGGAACAGTCGGCAGAGGTGAAAATGGCTGGTCCGCAGTACCCAGCCGGCTGGACCGAAGAAGACGTGCACAATTTTAGGATGGCGGCGCATTATAAATGTGCGGTATGTCTGACGGTGCCGGATGATCCGCAGACAACGAAGTGCGGTCATCTTTTCTGTTATCTACGTCTCGCGAAGGTGTTAAGGCGGAATCCGTTATGTCCGACGTCCAGACCGTCGTTGCGAGGTGAAGATGCCGTCAGGAACTTGTACTTATACGGCGGTCGTTAGAGGTGGAGGAGCTGTCAGGAGACAGCTTAGGTAGCTTGACCGAATGTGGTGGTCAAAATGTGGTGTAGATGGTGGACGTTTGACGATTGAGGTGTAAGACGGATGTTCAGATGTGCGAGGTGAAGATGCCGTCAGGAATTAGTACTTATACGGCGGTCGTTGGAGGTGGAGGAGCTGTCAGAAGTCAGCTTAGGTAGCGTAACCGGATGTCGTGGTCAAAATGTGGTGTAGATGGACGTTTGTCGATTGAGGTGTGAGACGGATGGTCAGATGTGCGAGGTGTACAGTGTGCGAGAAGCAGTCGGAGAACACGGTCGCACAGCGACGAGAGGTCGGCTGTGGCGGTCATTGAGAGTGTGGAGTAAACTGGAGGTGTCACAAATTGGTTCGATATTGCCGAGGTCTTCACTTGCCGTATCCCAGAAAGACAGCCCCGATATATGCCATTGATGACCCAAAATGGCATTGCCATGTTCGGTCACCAGGCTGGCGTATCCGCTTATCTTATCTATCCCTCCTGTCCCGCTCAACCTTACCTTCCTTACTATATCCTACTTCTTCGACTACTCTCAACCTTCCTCTTATTCTCTTCTTATCGAATCCGCAGGGGAAGTTGACCGGCTCAGCCCATGGGCCCTCCATGACCATTGCAGTGGGAAGGGTACAGCAGTGAAACAGTTTCCGCGAGCTGACCGCCATAAATTACGGTGGCCCGAACTGGATAGTATCCGGAAGCTGCCACACCACGTGGTGTGGCCGCTTTCGATGCCCTCTGGCTAAAAACCTCTAGCTCCGGCACCCAAATATTTCTCTGTTGTCTCTATAGATCCCCCAACGACAATGATCACGTTTCCTTCTTCTTTTAATTCTCTAGTAAAATCGACCTATTCAACACCACCTATCCAAACTCATAAATTATCTAAGTCGGTGATTCCAACGTCCACAACTCTGCTTTGCTCTGACACTCCGGAGCTACCAATGCTGCAGGCCGCGAGGCCGAAATTTTCTTCAATTCTCATGATCTTACTCAATTGGTTACATTTCCAACGAGAATCCCACCTAGAATTTCGCAATCTGCTAGCACCTTAGAGCTCTTCCTGACTAGTGACCCGGAAACTCACTTGCCTCATCCGCTCCACTGAGATCATTGCCTGACATCATAAGATCATTGCCTCAACGAAGCAATCCGACCGATTTCTCCTCTTCGTCAAATCAAAATCAACCTGTAAAAATGTCTGGCACTTCGAGTCAGCTGATTGGAACGAGCTGCGCACCTTCTTCTCCTCCTTTCCTTGGTCCTCTCACTGATTTAACTTGCAGATGTCTCCGGATGCGCTTCTACCATAACTGACTTTATCCTCCTTGACATGGAGCTATTCATATCACTCTACCCGCAAAACTTCTTCCAACTTGAAACCGTGGTTCACCAAACGATGCTCGACAGCTGTTCGCAACAAAAACTCGGCATATCATGCATGGGAATCTTAGCCTAAGCCGTCAACTTTTTCTAGCTCCAAGCAGGCTCGTAATGCCTGCGAAGCTCAAATAGAGAGATCTAAGAACCCCCATATCTCCTCCATCGCTCAAAAACTCACCTCATGCCCTAGTGGCAGCCGCCCATTCTGGTCACTAACAAAAGCAATCCGCCGAAATTCATCCACAAGCACTCTCCCGCCCCTCTCTGAGCCCGGTGGTTCCCTCGCAACAACTCCTGAAGATAAGGCCGATACCCTCGCTGAGGTCTTTGCAGAAAACTCTGAAACTTGATCCCGGCAATCAACTCCAACGTTCCACCAGTCCTCGATCCGTAAAATCCTCGGCACCTTGGAAGCTGAGGCCCCAGGCCCTGATGGTATCCCAGCAATAGTTCTCGAAAAATGCGCCCCAGAACCTCTGTACCTCTGTCTTCTGTACTCCGTAGACTTTTCTCTCTCCTTCGATTTAGGCGTATTCCCCGATAGCTGAAAGCTTGCCCTCGTTCGACCTGTCCCCGGAAAAGACGACAAATCTTCGCCCTCTAATTATTATCGTCCCATTTCACTCGTCTCCATCCTATCCGAGGTTATGAAAAAGGCCATCTCGAACAGTCCTCCCTCATTAGTGATCGGCAGTATGGCTTCTGGAAGTGAACCGCTCCACTGGCGATCTTCTTCTCTACACCACCCATCTTGGAGCTCCACTATGAAAATCTTGGCGAGACCCTTGCTGTTGCTCTGGACACTTCCAAGGCATTCGACAGGGTTTGGCATGCCGCTCTCCTCAATAAGCTCCCTTCCTTTGGTCTCCAACCCAATCTCTGCAACTGGATTTGAAGCTTCCTTAGTCACCGTTCTATTAAGGTTATGGCCGATGGCGCCCTCTCCAGATCTTTCCCAATGAACGCAGGTGTACCCCAAGGCTCAGTTCTCTCTCCAACTCTCTTCCTGTAGCACATCAATGATCTTCTCGCCTCCACCTCAAATCCCATACACAGCGTTGCCGACGACAGTACACTCCATGCTGGCTACTGGCTACTCTTTCAAGGAGCAGCCGACCTCTGCCCAAACAAATTCCTCTCGAAGCACCTCGCTCTCCTCCATTGATTGCGATCTCCGGGAGATTCTGCAATGGGGCTCAACTTATTTGGTCCAGTTCAACTCCCTGAAGACGCAGCTTACCCTTCTCACGAAGAAAACCAAGCCCTTTAGTCCAACCGTCTCTTTCGGAGACGAAACGCCACTTCCTTCTGCGAATATCTCTATTTTAGGCGTGTGCCTTTCATCAAATCTAAAATGGCTCAATTACATAGCGAACCTGGCCAAGTCAGCTTCCAAAAAAACAGGATTCCTCTGTAGAGCCAAATGTCCCGTCTATGGAATGCCCTTCCCCCTCATGTCTTCCCCTCAACGTATGATCCTAAACTCTTCAAATCTTACACTGTCCGCCCTCTTCCTTCAGGTAAAGAGCCTTGGGTTTTTCAAGGGGTATTATTTATATGAGCCCCACACTCCAGTTGAATTCTCCACTCTTCTGGGTAGTGCGTCAATGCATTCTTTCCTATGGCTATTTTACCTTCTCCTCCTACCTTCCCCTCAGTTCCCCTGCCCCTTTTCGCGCTCGCAGTTCTTATTGAGAATTATAGGGTCACCTCTTTGCGAGCTGTTCCACCGAAAAAATATATGTATATATCAAGTTCCTGCACTCGAGATGAGACCGAAGCGGAGTGCCTCTCCAAAGATCCATTCAGCCGTGAGAACGCTGCCGGCAGTGGAGAACTGTATCGAACATTTCACAGGATTTACGTGGGAATTATACACTTCTCTGGACACCTTCAAACAACCATTTCAATGGGATACATCGAGCTTTGGGCATAAGCTCCTCTAGACTCCAGCGAATCGCAGAGTGTGCATCACGACCGTTTTCCTCCCTTCTACGAAGGAGTATGATTTGCATGCATCATTCCGATCAAGATATCTCCGGAATCGAAATAAGAAACGGAAGCTCCCTTGCGAGATTGGAATTCGGGCGAGGATTCTGCCGTCAGAAGTCGGCGATGAAGGCTCGTGGTCGAAGATTTCCGCTTTTGACTTCATACCAAGCCGGCATCTTTGGCCATCGTATGAAAGTGAGATTTCGGATCCTTCAACAGTTCTTTGGGTTTTCCGACTTCGACAATCCGGCCTTGGCTCAAGACAACAATCGTGTCATAGTCGATGACTGTATGCAACCGGTGAGCTATGGTGATGATGGTAGAGTGAGCGAAATCCCTAGAATAGATTTGAAATATTAGTCATACAGGTATACCATTCCGAGTAATCGGGAAAGAACATCCCCGATATAATTGAGCAGAGGCATTCGACTGGGGCACCTTCTGATTGTGTCCTGGATCAGCGCATCGGTTTGCACGTCCACGGCTGCCGTGGCTTCGTCCAAGAGGATAATCTTAGATTTCCGGAGCAGAGCCCGAGCCAAGCAAATCAACTGTTTCTCGCCGAGAGAAAAATTGCCTCCACCTGGATGGGATACAGTTTAAGATTTGAGAGCTCCCAGCATCGAGCAAAACGTCGGAGCGGACTATTCCGAAGAGGTACATGAGCTTCTCGGATAAGCTCTGAGGCCACTTGCCTTCAGCGACTTCATAGTCGAGCCTCGACAGGTTCTTCTTCAAATGGGCTCTCTCGAGAGCCGCCCATATTTGTTCATCTGTATAGAGGTCGTGCGGATCCAAATTCGAACGGATACTCCCTCTGAACAGCACTGGGTCTTGCGGAATCATGGTGAGCCTCCCCCGGAGATCATGGAGCCCCAGTCTGGAAACCAACTCCAATGATAATGGCACGCGGTCCGTAGGAATTCAGGGATGAACAGCTCGAGATGACATTAAGAACTCACTGAGATGTATCCACGTCATCGATAATTATTCTTCCGTGGCTCGCTTCGATTATTCTGAACAGCGCCAGCGTCAAGGAGCTTTTTCCTGCTCCGGTCCGACCTACGACACCGACTTTCTCGCCGCAGTGAATTTCGAGATTGATCTTCTTCAGGACTTCTTCCATGCCTTCCCTAAAAGAAGGTCCTCGGTGGGCATGACCCGAATTGCGCTCGACATTTTTCAGCACCTTCGGGGCTGGACAGCGAGCCCGCCGCCACGAATTCCAAAAAAAGTCGGAGGTAAAAAACTCGAACCTGTATCTTGTGCTGAAGTCTATCAGTCTGATTTCCCCATTGTGCGGCCAGTTCCCATCAAGCACTGGACCTTTGTCGACCTGCCAGGGGGCTTCGCTTTCGATCTGAGTGTACTCTTTGATTCTCTCCGCGGCGACGACAGCCTTCTCAACGTCAGTGGCGACCCTGATCATCCAAGAGACAGCGTCGCAGAAAAGCAGAGAGTACGAGATGATCAATCCAGCAACTCCACCGCTGATTGATTCCCGATAGAAAACGACCAGACAGCATATGCTGGTCGTTATTATGGTAGACAACATGTCGATCCGAATGGCGGCCCATCTGCAAGGCTCTCAATGAGCGATCAAGCTCTCGCCTGATTATTATTATTATCTATTCTTCTCTCATGGCTCCGGGACCGCAAGGGAATAAGTCGAAAGATGCGATTTGAGGAGGACTGAGCTCACTGACCTTGAAACGATGATGGAGTGTAGATAGCAGTTTTGACACAGGTCCGAACGGATACGACACTTTTCAATGAAGTAATCTTCGGCACCGTATGCTCTGATGGTCGAAACCCCACTGATGGTTTCGGAGAAGTTATTGAGAACGGGAGACCGAGTGGTCGACAGGAGTCGGCGGAACTGGCGAGCGGCGGCGACATAGACTCTCTGCACGGGAAATGTTCATGAGCAATGCCGTGAGTCCCGAGCAGCGTAGTGGGCTAATCCCGGATTCGCGAGTAAAAGAAAAATCTCTCGCAATCGAATTGAAAACTTCGAACCGTTTTCCGGGAGAGGTCTTACCTGCAGGATGAAGTAGACGAAGGCTATTGGAATCACCACGTAGAGAAACATGGGGATCTCGATGCTGATCAAGATCACCGTAGCTATGACCTGGGTCACAGAATCCAACCAGCCATCGAGATGGAGGTGAAGTTCCAGATCTAAAACGTTGACATCCTTCCCGAACCTGATCAGAATTGAACATCAGGCTAACACGAGGGCTGCTCCGGCGTCCCTTGCATTCAAGATGGAAGTGCCAGGAATTTCAGGCGAATAGAAATAGCGGGTATCCTCGCTTGTTTCCTGCGAGCGTCTGATTTACCTGTTCACCATTCGTCCGATAGGCGTTGAGTCGAAGAATCGCATCGGAGCTCTCATGATGCACCACAACATTTCAGAGTGGAGTTTCGAGGAAGCTGCGAGGCACCCGACGGCGAGGAAGATCGAGGCGACCACAATCGCAACGGCTTGTCCTCCCCCGAAATAGAGATAGCCAGATATGCGCCACAGGGAGGCATCGCGAATTTCATCCAAAATCCCCGAGCTTGCTTCAGTGAGGTTATGACTCTCGATGATGTTTTTGGCATCGTCGGACCAGTAGCCGAGCCAGATCGATGAATAAGCCTGGAGATACGATTTGAGAGATCTTGAGCAGAGGTCAGGTCATTGATGCGTCGGTCTCGGGCCGGATGGATCTTCACGGCAAGCACAGCAACGGTTGACGGACCCACTCACTTCTAAGAAACGGTAGGTGCAGAGCCCAAGCAACACACATAGACCGTTGATCGCTCCGAAAAGCTTCCAGAGATTCATGTATATCGACCACTTGACAGATCCTTTCGCCACGGTCTCCTCATCGATGAGAGCTCCAATTTTCCTACCGCAGCCACCAGCATCTGCGCTCATATGTGACGTGGCTCGCTCCAGAGTCAAGGAACTTTCACTCAAACTCCTCGAGCCGTCGATTTGGCTCATGGAATCTCTCGAGGATTCCTGGTTTTGGAGCTTCGGCTCGACGAGGAAAGACCTTATAGCCGCGTCGGTCCTCATGATTTCTTGGAATGAGCCCGAGTGTGTGATTTTACCGTTGTCGAGCACGAATATCTTGTCGACGAAGGGCAGGACCGTGACAGAATGCGTCACAAGGACCCGAGTCACATCTTTCAGGAGACCTTGGGGACCGATGATCTCATCGAAGAGGTCCGACGAAACGTGAGCGTCGACGGCACTCAGAGGGTCGTCGAGGAGATAGATTCCGGCTCGTTGATAGACGGCTCGTGCGAGGCTGATTCTCTGCTTTTGTCCCCCTGACAGATTTACACCTTTCTCGCCGATTTCCGTGAGATCACCCGCTTCGAAGATCTCGAGATCCGGCTTCATGCAACACTTCTTGAGGACCTCCTCGTACCAACCGGGCTCGTAGGTTCCAGTGAAAATGACATTCTGCCGCACGCTCTCGTTTTGGATCCAGGCTTGTTGCGGAACGTACGCAATGCGTTTCTGCGAACATTTCAACATAACGATTGGTGAGTCGGGTTACCTCGGCTCTATCGGCGATCGCTCAGACGCGCCTCTTACCACTGGTGGGTCACTCACATTTCCAACATCTATGGAACCCTCGAGTTTCTTCATTTCACCGAGGATTGCACTCAACAGAGATGATTTACCGGAACCGACCCGGCCGATGATGGCGACTAACTCTCCCGAATTCACTGCGAGGTTCAAAGCCGATAGAACAGGCGTATCGCCTCCCCAACTCAAGCTCGCGCCCCGGAAGTGTATATCTTCGCCTGGGAACGACAAGAAACCGCACTCGGAACAGGAGCCCCCATCGGATATCGATTGATGTATATATGATTGGATCATATCAGTGGTAGAACAGCGAGGCGATGGCATTCACTCCCAGAGCTTTTTGCCCGACTCGGAAAAAAATATCGGAACCGATCTCATCGCTCCTAACCTTCCGCGACATTATCGGTGATGTCGCTTCGACAGATTTCATCGATCTGGAGGTACTTTCCGATGCGCTTCAAGGACACGATGGCTCTCAGGAGCATTGTGAGGAGAATTGGGAGGAAAGTCAATGCGAACCTCATATTGTTGAACAAGAACAAGGAAACGAATGCTTTCTCAGGGGTCAACACGTTCCTTTTGTCGACCATTATGTGAGTCCCGAACGCTGCCGCCGTTACCTGGAAGAGAAATCAAGTCCAGGTATCCTGGTCGATTGGCGAAGTCTAGAGGGGAACGGAGCCGCACACAGTTCAGAGGAGCTCACCAAGAAAGGGCTGCAGTACCAGAGGAACATAATGGCGGATTGGCCGAAGAGATATTTCCGGATCCAGCCGGCCTCTCTTTGACGGATTTTCTCTACTCTCTTGAGGAAGGGTATCTCCCAGGCGAACAACTTGATGATTTTTATGCCGGAGAACATCTCATTCAAGGCATCCAGCCTCTTGTCCTTTTCACTCAACTGGCGGTCCTTCAAGAAGAGAAAGATATATTTACCGCCGTTTCACCACGCAGCAGCACGAATGACGGACTTTCCACCCCAGAGATGAATGCCCCGCGTAGTCTGACTCGGTAAGCCGAGGATATGGAGAATCTGCTCACCTGATATTGTGCGGTGGCTTTTCCCAGGAACACAGTGAAAGGCAAGCAAGCGATAATCACAAGCAGTCCGGCGAGGCAAGATGGTCCCAATTGGAACCAAATAATGGCTAGGGAGCTAAGGATTCTGACGAAGCACCCCCATATCAAAGATGAGAATTGAATGAGTTCGAAAACGGTGTCTATATCGACCGACATCAGATTCAGAAGATCACCAGCTGTATATCGTTGGCTTGCCTCACTCGACACGAGAAGGCTCTGTAAATCGAATCATACACCAGTAGCTTCTTTGTGACTGAAGCACGCATCTCCCGCAATTAATGCATCATTTGCCGAAGAGAGTGAAATTATTATTAGATTGCTCACCTTGTGGTAAACGGCGCCGATCAGGGCCGAACGTATTTGAATGCTTCCGGAGCCATTGCTATATATCATCCAATTAGAGGAACACGTTGCGATCACGCTGATCCCGAAGAGTAAACCACAATACTGATAGCCCACAATCTGTGGGTCTGTTGATTCCACGAAAGCTATCATTTTACTGAAATTTTTTCTCGAATCAGAAACCTCGAGAGAATGTTACGGCTTGCGGATCGGGAGCTCTCTAGACGAGTGCCGTATCTCCATACCCCTAGTCGCCGGAGCTCACAAAAAGAGGGACGGGTCGAGGGCGCGATGCCTTCCAGAATGTTTCGGCCGCGAGGCTGGAGTATAGGGTACGGGAATGGGGCGTCATCATCCCCCTCCCTTCCCTTTTGCGAGCAAAATAAGCTCGCCCGGTTTTGACCCACTTAACCTGTCCCAACCCCACCTGAGCACGTAGACCGGTAGAAGACGAATTATATCGAATGCAAGCTCCCAGATGGAACTGTAGAGAATGAAAGTCCTGAAGGCTCTAGAGAGAACTCTGAACATTGAGCGCGGGGGCGGCTCCGACGACTTCGGAGACGATTCACCCTCGTGACCATTAGTGGTTGAACCTTTCCCGTCTCTGAAAAAACCGATTGTCAATCTATCCGCCGCATTCTTCGATCGAGTCCTTCAGACTGTAAGGCTCGATGAATCGAATTGTAGAAATTCTTTGATTCCGAGAGGCTCCCTAGTCTATTTGGGATGATCTGTAGAACTTGGCCACATAATAATCATACGGACTTTGTATCCCGATTCCAAGCAGCCTCGAATGCTTCCCAGCAATATCGGGTGGTATACACCTCTCGCAGTGCTACCAGTTCATTCAGCTGAATCACTCTCCGAAAGCCGTTCCAAATTATGCTGCAGGAGGTCGCAGGAGTTAGGATGTAAATCGAAATCGGTAAAGCCCTATGCCTCTCTACTATTCACAGCGTTCATTCACCGTGTGTAATTTCCAAAGGTAGCGAAAGTCCATATGTTCGGCCATTCTCGCGAAATTTCCGTCTGAGCTTCATTGGGAAAAGTGTATTTCTTTATTGGGTCCGCAGGCTTCTCCCCGCGCGGAGGGCTCTGAGCCTCAGATTTGTCATCGGTCATGTCTCTGGTCGCGTCGAAGAGCTGGAAACAAGATGAATCATCGCTTGAGCCGTGAATTTTTCGCGACGCTTCCCGGCGTATTCCGTGGCATTCCAGGCCCTCTCTGTATGTACTTCTGCGGGGAGTCGCCAGGAAATGCCGCGAATGATTCGTGGGACAATCGCGGTCCGCAGGATCATCAAAGAATATTTATATCTCCATCATAAGCTCAATGAATCGGACTGACAAAGGGGCATCGCGCGTTGAAGCTGATAATTGCAAGGGCTTTAAGTGCAGTTGATTCGCGCCACAAAGATCTCCGGCACTCTCCAATTATATTCTCGCTCTGTGCCGAGGGTTTGGAGAGAAACTGAGAAAATGAACGATTGATGCGCTCCCTCGCAGTAATTCAGAAAGATGTCGAGGCCGCTAGGAAACCTGGCCAAGCCAGGCGCTTTTCTAAGCCTCTTACTGAGCGTAGTAAATCTTCGTGAAGGGAATGTCGTTGCAATCTACGAGAATATCAGGTAAACTTCGGCCACTCACTGAGAGTCGCGTCGGTCTGCCTCGCTTTGCTCCGTTCGAGAAAAACCGCGACCAAGATTGGGAATCCGGCGAGAAATGCTAGTGCTTCTCACGCGATTCAAGGAGGAGGTACACCGCGTGCTCCTCTTGTCGATTTTGGCAGCGGTCCGCACTGGGGCCGGAAAACAGGGCGTACCGCTGAGATCGTAAAGTTGAGTGGGACAGATAGAAGCACTGGGTTGATGATCAACGCGTAGCGCGAGACTGTTTTGCAAGCATGCGCTAAATTATCGCACTGTTGATCGGAAATAGTTTCCCTTTTGACCGACTCAGCCTCCTCACGAGAATACTCATCGGAGCAGGCATGTTCAGGGGAAGTCTCCCGGAGAACCATTTCCTGCGGAAACCTCTTCGAGCTAGCTCGATGTAATCTGAGTCAACGCGCGGTTCCATGATTGTTCAGTCGAATCGGTGGAGCTGCCTCTTGCCTCGGCGGCTCTTGTTCATTCTAATGCGCTCGAATCGAAATCAGCGTCGAGTTCGTGTACCCGGAGAGCCGAAGCAGGTCGAGAGCAGTCTCTCAACCGTCTAATTTCGTTTCTCTCCGTATAACGGGGAAATCTCACGAACGAGGAATCAGTGCCGAGAGCTCATCACAAAGGAGCGGCTTCGAAGATAATCTGCACGAAGATCATTCGTTTCACACGTCATCCCGTGTCTCTCCAACACATTTCGAGTTAATCTACCCTGCAGGGGCTGATAGAGAGCCGTCAAAAAAGTCTGTATGAAACCTGGGGTTCGGAAAGTAATCCTGGCTAAGCGCATCTACAAACACCGACTCGTTGTATTGGTACTGACCTCTCGCTTCAGGCGAACGCGCCGGTCGCTCAGGCTGATGTTTCGAGCAGGCGGGCTTTCCAAGTCTCTCTCGTCCCGCGGGTCCTGTTTCCTAGGGATGATCGGCGGCTGTTTGGTAAATTGACAGGCTTCAATCCTTGTATGCGGGTACGCTGCCGTAGCATGGAAGCCCGATAAAGGCGGATTGTGTGCACACAATCAGCCGGTCACTTGCTAGGGCAGACCCTCAGAGACACCCCCGTCATACGTACTCTCACTTTGCACATGCTTTACCCTTCCCTAGGGAGAGACTCACTCCGGGCGAAGAAAGCTTTTTATAGCAGAGTGAAATAACCTCGACTGGCCCACGTTCTTGAATCGTAATGGGCGATGGATTCAGTCAAGTTCGAAGACCTGCGGGAATCTGAAGGGCGATCTGATGACTCAAATGATGAGGACATATACCGAAAGATACTCAGGCGCAGAAGCTTCCGAGATTAAATCTGTGTTCATGCCTTCGATGAGCATGGTTTGACCTGTATAACGGAGCGCATAGCAGGAGCAACCGCCATTATCTCTCCATCTATTCGCGCTGGAAGCGATTGTTTCTGCTCTGAATTCCTATTCGTTTACCCACGAATAGGCATAGGTGCAGTGTCCTCTATGGAAGGCCAACGGGCCCGGCAAAAATAATTGCGAGGGATTAAAGTAAGAAGACGCTCTAGAGACGCTCCGATGTAGAGTGATGAGAACTCCGTTGTATGGACAGAAAGACCTGCTCACGACTCCGACAGCGAAAAAATCCTCGACAAGCGCTTCCGCGGACCCATGCTTAGGCGTCTCTCATCGTCTGTCCAGGGAGCATTTCACGGTGCGATGACACCATGATAATTATTCCGTATCTGCCTAGAATCTGAGACAAAACATGATAGAATCAGCTTGAGGATACGGGCGCCTTTGCCTTGTCATAATGTGCTGAGCTCCCGCCGTCCGGAGTTTGAAAGCGAAAGGATTAATCAACTATTAATCAATTACCTCTTCAATGTTTTCTCACGATTCTCTAGAGTCCTGGAGCGCGAGTCCCAGTGAAAGAGAGGGAAGACATAACTTTCGGGTGCGGAATCCAAAATCAAGGGGATCATCACAGGTAACGGGACGGAATTTTAATCCCAATAGGGGAAAATTGAGTCTCATGCGATTCCTCGAGGTAATCAAGCCTCAGACAGAATAGTTTTTTTTTTCCGTGTAAAATTTGGGGGTCATCCGTCGCGCTTCTTCCTCTCAATCCTTTGAATTCTCGGGAGAAGAATTGGAAAACCGATTTAGGCACAACCCGGTATACATACGAGTAATGAGTAATGAATAATAAACAATCAATCCACATGATCGACGCTTTCGGTAGGTAGAATGTCATGCTCGGCCGTCCGTTCGATGAATCGGGTCAGCTTCTCTGAGCGGGACCCTCTCCTCAGAGATCGGAAATCTGATCCACTCAATCTGATCCGGAGAAAGCCAGACATGCTCAAGCCGGCAGCCGACGTTTTATGAAAAGTTCCGCGCAATAGGAAATCAGGGAATGCGGCCCTTTTCTTCAACACGGGTTGCGAGCAACATTGATGTCGCTTGAGCCCTCCTCCGCGATTTCTCGAGGTTTCCCTATGGGAGAGCTTCTCGAGGCGACTTACAGCGGTCAAAAATTGATTTTTCCTCCATCCTCAGCCGCATCCTCAGCGTCCTCCGTCTCAGCGCTGAGGAGTGGGAGACCCATGAGGGATGCGACCCGTAGTGTTGTCTTGACTAGTGGAATGCTCTCGATAAGCAAGTTCCAACGAACTCCGTGTCTAGGGCCAAGATGACGACCAGAAACTCTCTCGGGCTCATTTCCGAATTCAAATGATCCGAGTCAGTCGAAAAAAGCGTTCAAATAATTTTGTCCACCTAAAAATCGATTTTTGACCACTGTGCGATTCCCAATATTTGAAAGTCTTCATTCCGGTCGCCCTCGTAAATGATTCGAGCCCTGTCCGCTCGATATAGAGTACGATACTAGGGAGAACTAGGCTTTCCCAGCTCGCGGTGCACAGCTCCAATGATCTATGAAGAAGGCATTAGTCCCCTAGTTCCCAGTACGCGGTGAGTGAAGCCTTCCTTTATTTTAAAACTACACAATATAATTCCAGCGGACTTGACAGAATTTACTTCCAACGGTTGTTCTCGTAGTCCCATTTGGAGGCGATACCCTCGACAGGATTCGCTCTAATTTCAATCATGCGTTTCAATTGAGCCTGCTTGGACTCCTCACTGCATGATTCAGGCAATGGTGGGAGGACGAACTTCTTCAGGAGAATTGACATCCATAGCGCGAAGGCGAGCCCGAACATCACACCTCCGGTGATGATTCGCCAATCGCCGCGAGGACTGTCGAACTCGACGAATGTTTGACGGAACGAGTGTCTGTACAGAGCCTTCTTCTCTTCGAGAGAGAGATTCTTCCAGTCTCCTTTCTGTTTCTGGAGGAGCGCATCGATATGGGATCCAGGCTCTTCCCAACGGATTGCAGGGTAGGGGCAGTCGGCTCGGTCGAGGTAACTGTATGTGCCGTTCAGGCCTGGAAATCAAGGAGATTCGATGATGGAATTTCGTTGGAGCATCATCCGCATAATTGCTTCGGCGATTTTGAGATGCGCTTGATGGGAGCCCCTCAGGACCAGAAACTAAAATGGGGAATTTGAGCATAAAATCAATCCTACCAGCCATAGTGCATACACCTACCGTGTCCGACGACCTCGCGCTTCCCGATCTGGGCACGTCCGTGGAAAGTCCTCCGGGCCAGCAAAGTGCAGAGAAGTTTTGGTTTCAGTAGAGACATTTCTCTGAAGAAACGGTTCATTAGCTATGCCTCCATCTCATGGATAATAGGTCGACACTGATCTTTCAGGAGCCTTTATAAAGTCTGTGGAACTTCTACATGACGGTCCGCGCAGGCGGAGAGGTACGCTCACGTACGCTGAATGTATTCCCCGCCGGAACCATCCCCGGAATTTCGCAAAGACCAGTCCCTCAAGTTAAGCCGCGTATCGTGGAGAATATCGGGGACATGCTTGGAAGGTGTCAGGCTTCAGAGCAGACCGAAGCGACGCGCGCCCCCGGAAAATCTCGATCTTACATCTCCCTCGTGAATCGTCTACTAGTCCATAATCACGTATCATTTACCTGGTTTTCCGACGCAACCTGCAATGTCCCAACACGACCTTTGCAGTCCGAAGGTGTTTTCGTACAGAACTCGCCGCTGGAAGACGCCGCGGCTCAGGACTCCGCTTGGCGCGAAGTTCAAAAACGATCACATCTCCGAGGATGGCGCCCTCTGTGACTTGAAGTTCACGAAGTCGATGAGAGAATGATTCGATTTTTCCCATGATTTTCTCGAGCCCCTGTTAATCTCCTCAAGAACTCCGAGGAGTACTCCGACTAAGTCCAGGGTTATCTATCGTTTGGTCGACAACATCGACAGCCGCGCGCGGACTCGCTCCAAACGTCAGACGTGCTCTGAAGAGTGTGGTCAGACGAAACGCCAGTCACTAGTCATCGGGAACCCGTTCCCGTGCCGATTTTCGCTTGTTCTGATTTGCCGGTAGTGCTTTGCTTTTGCCGCACCTTCACATTGGCGATACTTCTCCCTCAAAATTGTTCAGGTCGGACCTCTCGGAGGTATCTCGTGTTCGTTGGTCGAGCAAAACTCACTGAGAGATCGGCTGAAGCCTCATCAGGTGTTTCATCAGACCGCGACGATCTCACCAAGCTCCGAAGTCTCTTGTCAGCCTCCCGCCCCTTGATCCCTTCCCGGGAGACCTCCAGAAGTTATTGCGTACCCATCTGACTTGAGCTACCGGATCGATCGCTACAATCGTCGCTCGCGCCTCTCGTGCTTGGTCGGCCGTTACGGTCGCGCCGTCGCATGCTTCGCCGCGGCAGTTCTGTATGGAGCAATTTGTGTGGTTAAATCATCCGGTCCGAGCTCGACAAGTTTCAAACGATTCGTGTTCGACGGCTCTTCGCAGCATGAATGTGCTGGAGATGTTCGGCTTCATTCACGATAAACCTCCTGGAGGTAAACCAAACCTGATCCATTTGTCGTTCGCGTTTCGGGAGCACGCTCCGAGTCTTCGAGCGCAAAATCGGGAAGAAGATCGGATGGGTCCATGGAAGTTTGACTCGGAAGGCTCCTCTTCTCCGGATGCCGACGCGGGGGCGACAGCAGGGAGCGCCCTCGAACGTCGCGACGCTCCCCGTCTTTTCGTGACCTCTCTCTCTCAGCGTGAGCGAGACCGCCAGGTTGAGGTCATGGGACGGCATTGAGCCTCAGACGCCGGTTAGATTGCCTAATTTTATCCAGATGCCCACAGCATCAGCAGTCAGGACGTGGAAATCGCGATACTTCAGATCGTAGATCTTCGATACGTCTTGGATCGCAATGTAGCGATCTCCGCTTGTGCCTTGCCCTCGCAAAGGGTCCGGCAACGAGGTGCTAAAGCCGTCTACTTCATCCGCCCGCCGTCAGGAGGGTTACGACACCCTTCCGTTTTAGCTGGCCCGGTTCGTGTGCGAGAACTCCTTCCACCCCTCCGAAGTGAGGCCCGAAGGCTTTCATTTCACTGACTGAGTGAGACAAGCTTAGCCAGGCAGCGAAGAACTCGGTCAGCACTCACGCTGCTGTCGTTCACAAGATTGAAGCAATCATCGCGTAAGTTCGCCAAACGAACTTTCTGCCAATCGGTCAATTGAGAATCGATTTCACTCAGATCTTCCCACCTACGAGAAATGGAATCATTGGACGTATATCCCGTCCGATCCGTCCTTCATTGAGTAATGGACTCTATTCTGGCAGTTGCATCACATTCCACAACTTTCGCAAGAAATGGAGTCCTAAACCTTTGGGGGAAAGTTCTCCGTTTTTTCTTTCATCGCTTCTGGATCGATAACAATCCGACTACTGGGAACATTCCCCAACGCCCTGCTACGCAGAAGATGGGACACACGAGTCACCTCTCGGTGATTGATCGTGACCGGGAGCCGGGAGACTGAACGGAGGTGGACGGTCACCACGAGCAACGAACAAGTCCCAATGAGAACGAGAAATGCGTGGGGGAGACGACTCCTTCTCGAGATCGTAGAGAGAAGGGAATTCCGTGGTTCAGAATTCCTCGAGAACTTATGGAAATTTCTTCCCCGCGCATGGAACCTTCTAATACAGGGACGAGGCCCGGTTTCGACTTCGCACTCCGCAATGAAGGACACTTTCGATCAGTCGGGTTTCCCCGAATTTCCTCGATGTACATGAGAGATCGGATGAAAGCTCCCAGGATCGGAATAATCTCAGGATTGCCCAAGCCTCAGGAACTATGCCTCATCGCCCTGCGTCCCGCAGCATGGGTGCTCAAAGAATGCGAGGAGACCGAAAAACTTATGTCCTGCCTCTCGTCAGCAGAGATCATCGCCATCATCGCGAATACGGCTAGGGTCCGTCTGCCAGCTAACTCTACTCTTCCTGTATCTGGAACAACTATCCGTATCTTTCCGTAGCCTGTTCCACGGGAACGTATGTCAAGGGTACCGTCAGACGTGCCGCAAGGGGCGTCGCACCTCCGTACCGAAAGATTAAATGTCCGCGCGGCTACTCGATGCTCCGGCGGCACCGTCCATCGAGAATCTGCCGATGGCGGCGGCAGCGGCGGAGGAGGCGGCCGCCGTACGAGCATCAACGGTCTTCGAGCAGCAACGGCATCGATAGAAGAAGGAGCAGTAGAATCGGGAGAGTCGGTTGTTTGTGATCGCTCTCTCTATTGCTCTGGGGCAGACTGGCTGCTGCTGCTGCTGGCAGACAGAGTCTGTCGTGCGTGTATGTTTCTCTCCAGATTGTTGGTGTTCTAGTGGTGATGGTAGTGAGAGCTTGCTCTACTCTCCATCCCTTCCTCCTGAAATTACCCTCCCCTGGCTCCAGCAGGCCTTCGGCTCGGCAGGATTCATCCGCGACTCCTCGCAGAGCCACAAACCATCCTGGCTCGGCCTCCTTAGTTAAACGGCGGACCTGTTTTTAGAAGAAGTGAGCTCTACGTGAGTCCGCGTTGATCTCAGTTAGAGCGCCTCCACCGAGCTGACAACATTATTAGAAGAACAAGCCCGGGACAACGATCACGCGATTCGAAAAACAACAACAACAACAACAACGACAACATTGGGATGGCGGCAACCCATTCGGTGAGGACACGAAATGTTCACTCGGGAGCACACAACGGGCCCTTGCCGGGAATTTCCGAGTTGGAACAGATTGTCCGCAAACTCGAAAATGGAATGACTCTGATCAAATTCGATCAGAAGGGTAGACCGGAGAAACGACGATTTTTCGTCAAAGTTGAAACCCGTCAACTGTTTTGGAGTCGCGAAGGCCCGAACGGAAGATTCATCGACGAGGGAAGCCGTGAGTACCTACTGTTTACTTTTCTCTAAGCGGATCCCGCTCGCTCGCTCACTCTCCGCCAGGTTACGGCGCCCGCTCCGGCGAGCTGTCAGCTGTGCGACCACCACCGGCGGAGAACTTCGAAGGCGGTGCCACCGCATGCGCGTAGAGTACGTACATTTCAACTCCGAGTGATTTTACAACCGGCATCGATTATTCTTATCCCATCGTAGCTTCCGGGACACTTTTGCGTGTCTCGCTCTCGTGTCTCGCTGTTTTCCCCTTTTCTCCGTGCCGCGATGTTATTCGAATTCGGGTGACAACTGGAGAGGGAATCTGCTCCCGCCGGTGTATCGCTTGTAGAACACCGCGGCGCAAATTACGAACAAAACAATTTCCGCTCCGGAGCATCGCATAACGGTCCGTATAACACCAAGGGGCACACACGGACAGACGTTCTTATGCAGGTTGACATGCTTACGACAACTCACAAGTGTTGACGCGAGGGAAATTCTCTCCTCCTGTTGTGCTTATCGTCAAGTCTGAGCTCACCCGCTCCGAACATCCACTGTCTGCTCTGCCCGCGCGCGGATCGTGTTCGATTCGAGCGCCTTATTGCCACTAGTTGCTCCCCCACCTGTCGAGTCGCATCCCATGTGGGGCTTCCGGCAGGAATGCCATTCATTCGCCCGTTTTGCAATCATGGTTGGCGATGCCGATTCGGAAGCCGCGATGGTCGGAGTCGAGTGGCGAAGAGATCGCAGACTGAGAGTTGATTAGCCGAGCTCACCGTCGCGCCGGCGACGTGCGCACGGGAACCGTCATTTCACTTGAAGTAGTGAAATGACGAAATGGCCCTGGATTCGCGTGGGCGTCCCGAACACGGCTCGCGTCGCACGTGATAAGCGCTCCATGCCATGCCATTAGGGTACGCCACCCAGTTCTGACCTGTTGTTTGGAGTCTGGTCTCAGGAGAACGTTCGACCTCGACGATTTCAGTCGGCCGCGTGAATTATTGAACATATTCAAACGAATCAGGTTTTCAACTGCTCGATCAGGCACCATTAGTCGATACGCCGTATGTGATTGTCAGCGGCTCCCTTATGTAGAAGACATCTGAGTGCCTAGGTAATCGAGAATTCTTTGGAGAATCTCTTTCGAGATTCCTCAGCTTCCGCTCGTCTGCGGGGAAAATTTGTTGTCTCGGCTCCGACACGGCTCGACATCGTGGTCCCGGAGTAAATTGCCTCGCTCAGAATTCCGCGAGGTTTAGCTTCTTGCGCGCGTCCTTGTTGATTTTCTGCCTTGTTAGAGATTTTCAAGCATCTTTCAGACTCCCGGTGACCCTTCAGCTTGCTTGCAGAGACTCGCACTCAAGAGAGCGGGAAGAGAAAGTTACACGTCGCGCTCTACTTAAACGACCGCTGGACCGTGGGGGATGAGATAGACACTCTTCTCAACCTGGACCCACCCGATCGCTGGTGGAGAAATTTCGCGTTCCGGTTGCTTTGTCTGGCTGCCGGAAAACTGTGAATTTGGCGCTCTGTTTCATCAAATCCTTGGAGTTCTCCTCCATTCAGGAAATGACAAGCATAAAAACTATGTCCCTCTGGAAATGAAACGCTCCGGCACCCGGCCTTTGTTTCCGGGCCATTTTTGTGCTCTCTCCCCTGTGCTGGTTTCTGAGATGACTACTTGGCGCGGAATCGGCGGCGCGGCGTGATTGGATGCAGGATGATTTTTGATGGAGTGCCTGCCCTTCTGGCACGGCGGCGAACGCTCGCTGGATACGAGTGCGAGCTGTTTGTTGGGCTGTATTGCTTTGGCTTCTCGGTCGTTTCCTCTGTTATTTCCTCGCCTTTATTCGGGGTAATTGATCAGCTCGGCCCTAAGCCCTGAAACTTCCGTTTCTGTTCTTCGTGCTCGATCGAACGCATCTTACTTGTCGACCGGATGCGGACTTTTGAATATTTAACCGCGTGGTGCTCCTGCAGTTCTCAGAGCTACTCATATCCCAGTGGTGAGATCCTCCTTTCTCTCGCTCAACATCATCGAAGTCCGATGCTCAGGGATCCGTGTGCTCCGTTCCAGTGTCTTATCTGATTCAGGTGTCTGGAAAATCCATTTCCTCTGATCGTCTCTGGACGGGGACCGTGGTCTCTAACGTCTGTTTCCTATAGGATAGATTGATGACTTCGTCTATCTGTGCTTCGCTCATGAGTGCAGGCAGTCGTCGATGTCGCTTACCGTGTCAGTGGTGCTGATAACGCCTGTGATATTCTTTCTGTGGACTCTGGTTGCTGCCCCTCGCTCCGAAGCAGATGTGGCTGCCGATGATAAACTTGCTCTTTTCCGCCGTCGAGGTGCTCTTCGAACGGAAATTCTCTCAAGCGTCAAAATCACCATACTTCTTTAGCCTCATACCCCGCAAAATCCGGGGGAATTCTGCGCCATCAATTCGGCCCTTTGGAATAGGCGAGCGGAGGTAACTACGGATTCTCCCTAATACAATATGGTCGTCTTGACAATTCTGATCCTCGGTTTCGGGACGGCGTAGGAGCTCGCTGCGCAAGCGTTCGAAATACGGGAAGGCGGACTCGGTTAGGCATTCCGACGGCGAACTCGGCAATCGTAGAACTCAGTCGAGATCATGACCGACGCCCTGTGCGGAAACGTGGAATGACAGATTGGAGGCTGCGCCAGTTTCGCTTGATGAGAACGTCGAGATTGGGTTAAGCCTTCCCGCCAAACCTTCGACGTATCGTTCCAACGGCATCTCCAGGCTGCGTCGACGAGGACGTTCACGTACTTTATCCACGTCAAATCCGCTCTGACGAGCACGGCACGAGTTAGCCACATGAAGTGCCCGCTCAGGATGGGCGCCCGTTCTTGCCGCTTTCAGTCAGACGAACCTTAACTAATGCTCATGAGTCGGTGGCATTCGCCTTCTCATAATCAACTTGACGTCAGTGTAGCCAGCGAATATACCTTCACTCCATGAGGTCGTACGATAGACTCAACTCTGATTGATTGCGATGTTCGGATAACCCAGTCTAGCGGCAGCGGAGCTCCTTCGCCGTAAGACGCCCTCGTTGTAAGGAGATTCGTTCGACCTCGACCTGAAACGGATGGTGTTTTGCATAATTCAACGAGTTACTTCCGAAATGCGTCCTTCTTAATCGGATGAGCTTCGTTTGCGTGGTGCTCCCCCCTGAACTGTTGTTCCCAAGGCCTGAAACCTCAAGGCCGAGCGGTCCAAGATTTCCTGAGGTTTGGAGGGACAACTTCAATGCTTTACGTTTTCCTCCGGAATCCTCGCAAGCTCTTGGACGCTGCGAGTTCATTATGCACGAGCCCGATCGTCGCTCCAGTCTGCGTCCTATTGTTAACTATACGGCTTGCAAGGTGTGGCGAACCATCAACTTCCGTTCCCATGAAGTGGCCGCATCGACGAATTTCCGCTGTAAACACGCGATAGTCAATTCACTAAAACTGGATGCAGAAGAGTAAGCTTCTCGGATTTCCCGCCACCTAATCTGCTCCGGACTAGTGTGAGAGCATTCCGAGCCACGCTTGAGCGTGCCGTGGATTGTACCCTTGGAGTGCCCGGGCTGCCGGGTTTGTTGGGGCAATCAGAGATATCGAGCCGGGAGTACAATATAATATTATGTGAGAATGGCCCCTGCTCATAGCAAGCTCGAAGCTGGCGAGCGGACCCTGGGCTGGATGCGTCCGCGCACCACCAGCCGCGCATTGTTGCCAGCTTGTGGATTTATTGATCGTCAAGTCGAAGATCATTAGGGAAGATTGAGATGCGTTGTTGCGCGTCCGTCTTTTCACGCGGGCCGCACAATGACCAATACTAGCTCTCTTGGCCGCGAGTCCATCCTCAGGATTTGCCCGGTCCTGAACCGAGGTTTCGGAGCTCTAGTGACATCGAGCAAGTTGCTGGGAGACGTTTGTCTCCGGCTCGAATAAAGGAAGCTTGAAAGAGGCGATAGAGGATTTGTCTAGAGTAGTTTTCTGGCTTGCTTCGTCCCGAAGGAGTCGAGCTCAATCTGGAGATGAATGTGTTCCTCTCTCGCGCATCTCTGGAAGTAGCTGATTGTCCCTCCAGGCGTTCGCTCGCTCGCAGATTCATTATAGCGCTCGAGAATGACCCGAATATTCTTCCGTTCCAGTGGACCTACGAGAAGTAAAGGAACTCCGACATGGACCCACAGCAAAGATGTTCGAGCGTTGGCCAGATGAAGCCAAGCGTTGGGACACTCACAATTGTTTTGCCTTCTTTTACGGCAATACTTTCAGACTCAAGTATCTTCAATGTGTGGGTAAGTATCCTCTTCTCCATTCTCCTTCCCTAAGCAAATACCGTGATGCCGGGAAAGGGAGACGCTTATTAACCCTTGAGCGGTGGAGTGGAAGTCATGCTCGAGTCATGAGTTCGACGCTGGTGTATTTCGGAAGGAGAAGATCAAAGTTGTATCTTACCCACTACAGCACTTGGAAACGTCGATGAGCACGTGGTTATGGAAAAAATCGAAAAGACGGGTAGAGAATTATCGGGCAATATCGGGCATCGCTCTTGGGCTCATTTCTTGGGCTGCTCTCTGCGTTCAAACTCGACACGCTCTCGCTAGCGTCTTCGGCCGCCTTAACGATTCAATTTGAGCCGAGAATTAGGAAGGAAGCGACTTCAACAGGGAAGTAATAAGGACGGAAACATCGCTCACTTTGGAAATAAGAGGTGCTGATTTGACTTTCGGTTCCATCTCGAGAATCCGGCCTGTCGCAGGGGAATAGTCAGCCTCCATGATCCGGATTCGAACGTCGGCGTTTGTCGAAGCTGCCACTTACTTCTCTGAGCGAAAACGGTGACCACCAACGGAGCCAATCTCTTGTTTAGAAGAACTTTGCGCTCTCAGATGTGGGTCGGGGTGTCCTTCGCCTGTTAGAGTTCTTCTCTGACCTATGGCATTTTTTAGGTACGGAATCTGGAGGAGTATACCAGAGACAGCATGCAAGTTTGAAATTCTAAACTCTTCACTTTCTCCGCTCGGAGTTTCACATTGCGCCGCACGATATCGAGCTCAAGAGTTCCGTCTTTCTCCGGCCACAGAAAGCAGTACTATGAGGAACTATTGGCTCGTAACCGGAGATCAGACCTCATGGTTTCATATGCGAGGAAATTCGAGAAGAAGATCAGGATTGAGACGATCCAAATCTGCTGAGAAGCGAATCAGCCCTCACCGAGAGTACCCCGAGCTCACGATTTCGTGAGTCGTGACCTCTAGTAGGCGTTCCGCTACTGCCCCCGGGGCTAACCGGGCGTTAGGAAATAAAAGACGCTCATTGCCTATCTCAACTAGTATGGAGAACGGACATCTTTGGCGCGCGAGCGGGATCACGAGGAACGCCGATGAGGGCAAGAGGTGCAAGAAGCGATAATTCCTCCCGTCGCATCGCACATCAATTAGCCACCGATGCTGGAAGTCTCGGCTTAATTCTCCGGCTAATGGGGTGGACAACGAGCTTGTGCTCCTAGACCCTCGCTGTTCGACCAACCTCAAAGTGTTGTGCCCATTTAGCTAGGTAATTACCTAACAGTTGGTGGCAGCTTCCTCCCGCGCCCCGTGCTTCATCAGGTCGCCGTTTTCCGTCAAATCTCGCCCACATGGCTTCTGCTATATTTAGAGCGACTTTCGCTTTTACTAGCGAGGCATCCGAATGGCATTGCGAGGCGCGGTGTGATTTGTCAATGTCCAAGTTGCCACGAGATGGTTTTCAGGCGACGGTTTCCCTTTTTTTTGATCCACGAAGTCTGCTCGACTCCTTCGCTCGAGGAGCCGACGTAAGCTTCTTAGTACACAATTTTCGGCCGGTCTCTCTTTCGTCCACCGGCCGTCTTGAAGGATGTCCAGCGTCCGTGACGTCGCTGCTGGTGCCGCCGCTGACCACTTTCCTTTATTGTTATTACAGCTCAGAGGAGATAGGGAAAAGGGATCATCGTGATACGATACCGAGGGCTTAGGGAGAATTGTTAATAGTTTTTATAATATAGCCCAGTGCTGCTTGGGCTGTATAGTTAGTTCGTTCTCCCGGAGCTCCGACGCGGCGACTGGAAGGCGTATGCAGCTTCGAGGTGACCGAATGACTGAGCGAGAGCCTCTCATGGATTCCGAGCGAGCAGAAGTGGGTCTCGTTAATTTTGTTCAGATATCGAGAGTCCAGGAGCGGCGAGATTCCTGGAGCAGTTCCTGGACCCGTAAGCCCCGTACGCAGCGGAGACAATTCCCTTTAAAACCCCCAAAGGAGAAACGCTTCGCTCCCTGGCCGGCGTAGGAGTCCCTCGTTTTGGCCTTTCCTGAGCCGAGTTTCTGCCGATCGAGTTCGTTTTTCATTTTGATCGTCATGTGTCGTGACTAGAATAACTTAGGGCTCGCGCTCCGTTCCGATCACACATCACAGTCTGTTCCTGCATGCCTGCTTGTTTGTCCGCGTGTCTCTGTGTGCCTTTCTCATCCGAGAAATGGTCTCAAGGAGTGGTTCTTCCCGTTCTTTCGGTAGAGTTCCGGTCGGTTTTCAGAGCCCGACGCAACGTTGCTCGCCAAATCCAGCGGGATCACGCGAATGACGATGTTACCGAGTCTGTTGCGACTCGAGAGGGGCAGTGCGCTCAGCCGGTGTAGCATCGTGGCCCACATAAAGAGGAAGGCAAGGATTGCGATCGAGTCGAAGGCCAAAGGCCTCACAGGAAATTGCGAGTGAAAGTTGCCACTGCGATCTGAATGGCTTCAAGCTGTTCTGCTGTTCGTCCGACCATGAGCCGGTCCCACGGAATCGAGTTCGGTTGAACATATTCTCCTAATCATATCTGTAATGTGACAAACTGTCGCTCGAGACGTTGCCAATCGAGACGGGAGACGCTGCAACACGAGCCCCTTCCTCGAGATCGAGACAGCGACCGGAACAGGATTGCCCGTGCATGGCATTCGGAGACGTTTGCGCAAGATATCTGAGTGATCTTGAATTTTCGGAACGAACGCAGAAAGGAGCTTGCGATGCGAGGTCAGTGACCCGCGCTCTGGGCAATCGGCAAGATCAAACGCGGCCGATGATTTCTGCGCGCAAATCGCCCGTCTGGTCTCTGCGCCCCCTCCGTGGATCATTATTATTCAAGGAGGAGGGAGAGAAAAGAGAGAATCGACCACCAAACGGAAGAATCCAAGCTCCGCGTTCTGATTGACAGGGAACGAGGAGGAAAATCGGTTTCGCTTGTGTCGGGGGTCGAATGCGACCAGGGCGAGGTCGGTCGAGAGAGAACACCACTTGAGCGCGACTGGATAGCCCGTCAAGTGCTGTGGAACGCCTAGATTTCGTCATTCTCCTCGCTTAGTTCCGGAAACGAATGATCCCTCGAGCCAGACTGTGCAAAAAAAAAGATTTTTCCTCTTCCTTGTGCAAGAGCGGGTCTGTGAAGCCTTTTAATGAAACGCTCGGATATCCTCGCAAGTGTTCAATATTCGACGGAGATATTTGTTGGCTTCGGAGCTTCGAGAATTTACGATGCCGACACTTCATCATAGAATTTATGTTTATTACTCTGGCCGTCGACAAGTTCAGATGAGTTCACCGTGCGGCGGCGCGCCGTCCGCCTGGCAGCCCGACGAATTCTAATTTGTTTCCCAATTAATTTCAGCGACAACTCTTCAGGAGTGCGATCAGTGGGTTCGAGGTTCTCGCTACCTCGTCGAAGACACGATCGGCGCAAGCTACCCGCTTCAGGTCGAACGTTGGCTCCGAAAAGAGTTCTATACGATGGTCAACACGAGAGACACGATATGTCTCAAAGACATTAAGGCGTTTCTTCCGAGAGTGAGTAATACCGAGGAGACGTCTATATGACTCACGGCGAAATTACTGACCGAGTCTAATGGAGAAACGCTGTCGAGTCCAACTTCGCTTAGAGATTACTCTCGATTGCTTCCGACAACCTTCTTACGATTCCCAACGAGCCAGTACTAAACGCCGCTCGCTGGCAAGATTCCCGTCTCCCGATTCCTCCCAACTCCGCCGACGCCCTCGTTATCCGTCATATTTCTCTCATTCGGAGCTTGCGACACAATACTAGCTAGTGATTCAGAGACGCTGGGTCTCGAGCCACTGCCCCCTTCCGACCCAACGACTGAGGAGAGGGAATGGGAAAGAGCCTCCCAGTGATTCTGTCCAGTGACCTCCGGCACACGGGTCTCGTCATTGCAACTCCGTCTCGAATGTCGTCTATCCGCCGCTAATCCTCATCTCTTCATACTACACTTGGCCGGATAAGCATTCATGATAGTCGTCACGATAACGCGTGGCTTCATGAAGCAGGAGAGCTCCTTATCGTTGCTGCTCCAGTCTGAGAGCTCTTCCTGTAGGTGCACTTCGGGACAGAGGATTTTGCAGAAGGAAGTCGCTTGTGGCACGATGTAACGTCCCTTAGAAATAGTCGCAATTCATCCGTATCAAAGCGAGTTCACGAAAGCGGGTTTCCATTCCTCTGATCCCTTTCATTTAGCTGTCCGCTTCGGTTCCTCGTTTCCTCAACTCGCACCGCCGGAGTCGTCGACACCGCCGGCCTGGAAGTGAATCGCATTCTCAATCTCAATTCTTCTGTGTGCGCCCCTCCTCTGTCTGCGACTTGCTCGGGAATGTCCTCCACTGTCTGTGTTAGCTTTTTGCTCAACCATTTTTTACTTTCTCTGCTGTAGGCGCTCTTGCTCGGAACGCATCCGAGACTTGCTCGAAAGAGATTCCGCCCATTCCACTGGTTGAGGGATCGCGGTTTTCTTCCTCGCCTTATTCCTCGTCGTTTCCCTCGTTCTTACTCGGGACTTCCTTCCGTTTTCGACAAACTTTTCCTCGCGGCCTCGAGTTGCGAGTCTTAATTTTCCTTGTTCCGGAGCTCCGAAAGTCTGAATTCTTGTACGAGTTAGGGAACTCTTTGGAGCAGCCGCCTATCCTGATTTATATTTTGACTCTGGTTTCTCTGTTTCCATTTCTCGGCTTGGAGCAGGAAATCTCCCAGAAAAGCTCGGCCGTTCCTCGAACTTTGTGTTCCTTCTCTGCCAATCCCTACACCGCCTAATCCTCGGTCCATTTGTAACGGATCGGAGCAGAAGAAATTTTTACGCAGGTCTTGAGGCTCTACACGACTTCCACGGCTTCAGCTGTCCATCCGCTCTGAACAGCTTGAGAATCCGCTTGACGTGCGAGGGAGATGTCCAACGATGTCGGTCCGAGAGCAGAGATCCAAATCGGATGACATCTTGGAATTTTTCCTCACCGCTGTCACATGAGGCTTCATTGACAACGACACGTGGGCATGATGTCACACGTATGACGAGCCCAGGAAACGAATGTCTTTCCTTTGCGGAGAGAGAGACCTGAAGCGGAGAGCGCGAGGAAGTATTTGCGACTGATATTCGGATCCTGGAACACACGAGGAGGTTCAGGATAGAAACAGGCGAAGCTCGATTGGAGCATATGCGGGGTATCCCAGAGGAGTATACAGGGGGCACGCCTAACTCACCTACTCCGGAAACCGATGTCGAAAAAGGTCCACAACTCTGTTCTTCCAATCGAAGTGATTAGGAGCAACTAGATCCCTTGCGTATCAACTGACCAGTCGAAAAACCTTAGGGGAAGTCTCCTGAGCTTTTCGTCCTCCCGAGCATGCAATCGGCAGAGACCTAGAATGTTCGGACAAGCACGCCATCGACACGAATATCAATCACTAAATGTCCTCTCTTCTGAAGACTTTGCCGAAGCATTCGGGAGATCAGGCCGGCAAGCGATCGAGCCGCATCTTCTCCAACTCTCATGACTTTGCATGCTCCGCTGCTTAGGCCAGTCGTTGTCGTACGTGGTCGAATGAACTCGGTCCTGTCTGATTCGTCTCGGAGCCCTAGCCGATCGGTCGTGTGGACTCCACCGTATGCCTTCGGGTCTTCGGACAGAACTGCAGAACGGCTCTCATGACGCTGCCTCTCAAAGTGACGGGTTGCTCCCTTATATGTTGCTTCTGACGAACCCCCTGTTCGCATTACTATAGCATACATATATTCTTGAGCCTTTCACTCGGTGAGCTGCTCGGCTGGTTCCCTGACAAACGAACGTGTGGTCTGTCCGACTGACTGACTGACTGACTCATTGGTTGACCGGCTGCCCATATGACGGACCCGCTCGGTAGCTTGTCCACGAAGATTCAGTCACGTCTACTCCACCCAGCTGCAAATACTACCGCGACCGCACTCTGTAACGCCGTTGTCGCCGGAACTCACGCTGCATGAGGGGATGCGAACGGGCAGATCGAGAGATTTCTCCCCCGTGGGCCGAGAAGAAATATTCAGAGTACGAAAGAGGCCGGTTTTGAATTTCCGTCTTCCGCGTAGAATTCTCATTTGCCAGAATGAGTGTTTCTCTCTCTCGTATGATCGTGATAAGGAAGTAAATGAGTGCCGGAAGACGGTTCCCTCCGACGAGCTGCTCGAACGGTCGGGCAGAGGAGTCCACAAGCGAGCGCAAGACGCGGGATCTCTGCCTCTGGCATCCCGGCGCAAGCCTATCACGTCTCTGGGGCACGGCAACGGCAGACAAATCGCACTTGCAGGTGTTGCCTAATATTCATCTATCTCGCGCGGAGGCGCAAGGAGGAGCTCAGAGCATCCGCCGTTGTCTCGGCGGTGCATTCAAACACCAGCTGCTCGCTCGTTTGAGGTAAATTCATTTCGTCGGATCGAGTCGTCTTCTGGCCGAGGAGATTCCCCGGATTCGATGAGGGCGGCTCTGAACTGCTCGCGTCGGGATTCAGACAGAGGTCGCGATCCGCTTTGCGAACTGTTCAGCTTAGACCGTTTGGTAAGCTCTGCCACTTCACGATCAATATGTTTTCCGCAGCGCCCAAGCTCCCGCCTCGTGGCGATGGAGCTCCGACGCGGAGACGTTTCAAGAGCACGTTTCTCTTCAAATCTCCGAGTCGAGGAACGAACGCGACTTCGGAAACTTGTCGCAAGTTTCATCGTTCCTCACAACTTTGCGTTGTGCTAATCACTTCGTCCAACGCGATCGACGCCGGGGGATTTTTTCTCGTCGCCGACTCCGAGCGGATCTCACGCCAAGACGGACGGACGGAACCGCTGGCATTGATCTATCTAAATGAAAGCCCATCGCAATTTATTTAATCGACGTGTCTAATGTAAGGCTCGCAGACCGGCTATCAATCAAGTCCGGCATCGAACCAGAACAGAAACACAAAGGAGCCGTCCGAGGCATCCTGAGCCGACCACGATGGCTCGCTCGCTTGCTCGCTGTAGAAGCTGATCGTTAATAGCCCAAGATACACGTGTGTGTGTGGTAAAAGCTTGAAGGTCGCTGGAGGTTCTCGGTGGCCGGCCGGTCGGCGGCTTCCGCTGTCCAAACGAGCCGATACCGTGACGCAGAAGTTCCTCCCCGAGAAGTTGTTGAGAAATCCCACACCAAATCCCGCAAGCCTCAGTCGGATCTATTTATTGAGACCCTGCAAAGACTCTACGTGCTCAGCGGACCCGACGTATCGAGCAGGTCATCCGAAACCGGGGGAGTCGGTGGTGGTGGTGATGTTGGTCGGCCCAGGCGGGTCGGTGAGGAAATACAACTTCGCTTTCGCGGACCGGAGGAGCATCGTGTCTGCTCGTCTAATGCTTGCTCTTCCGTGCTGTCTATCACAGGCTCCGAGGATTTGTTCTTGATCTCTAGCTCCCGCCGCTGCTGTTGCAGGACGTTAACGCTGCTTGCTTGGTTGCTCGACGGCGCGGCGTCAGAAAGTGGACGAGCATTGTTTGGCAACGCCTCCCGGCCGGGTTCCGCCCGTCGAAAATTTCCACGAGCCTCTTGTACGCTAATACTTTGCGTTGAGAGCGGACCCAAAGAAGTGACGGGGAAGTGGCAGCCGACTCGTCGAGGGCCGACTCGAAGAAAAGCCGAGTCGTCAACGGAACGAGGCGTTGTTAACCCAACACGGCCGTCGTCGGCGGGAGCCGGCATCCGATGTTCGCGCTCGTTCCGCCTCCGATAGTCATCCGCTACCCCTGGTGATGATGATGCTACGAGTCAGTCAGTCAGTCGGTCAGTGGATGCTCAGCGCAGGCTTGCCAATCGCCATTCGAGGTACAGCCAATAACCAGCGGCGGCCGAAAGGCGTCTGGCCAGGGGCTTTAATTAGCGCTCGTAGATAGACACCCGTAGCATCAGAAGGAAATCTCAGAGTCATGTTCCTCTAATTACGCGATGCACATGCTGCACTGTCTGAATCGTCTGCTTCTTCGGTTCCGTCTCCCTCGTCGGCGTCGGTGCCTTCCCGACCGAACGTCGGACCGACGGACTTGGAAGCCGTTTATCTGCCGCAGGGAGCGATGGTCTCACTCGTCTCACGGGGGTGAAGGCGTCTAGACCTTCCTTGTTTTCGGCGGAAGAGGAACTGGTTAGGTTTTGCCTGACACATATACCAAGAGGTCACTTCATCCTGAAAGGGACCGTTGGCAGGCACGGTCGGTGGTTGTCAAAGGTATTCATTCGTTGGCGACAGCGGTTCAAGCAATGCCGCCGCGACAACGAGCAACCACCCCTGACCCAGTTTGCCATATTGGTTTTTGCTTCATACATGTCTCTCGACGTCTCTCCCCGTTTCGTCGACGGCGTCTTCTGTTTCGGTTATTGCTGGCTCGCAGGCTCGAGTTCGACCACATACTCGCCTCTGTGTTTCCTCCCTTAATCCCTCATGGTTTTTTTCCCTCATCGGAAGCGGTCTACGCGAGTGGATGTAGGAATCGGATTTGGACTGGCTCAGTTCTCTCGACTGGGGTCAGCGAAATTCACCGCGTCACGTCTGTTTAGAATTCGCGACATTTATTCTCGATTCCTCGTATCCGACCCTCTCATCCACGCTACTGGAAAGAAGAGCATGTGACTGATGGAATAATTGCAAGGAGGAGTGGAATCGACGGGAGGGGCGATGCGAGCGTCGAACATACTACTCTGGCGGAAGGAGCGTTTTTCGCTTCGTTCGAAAACCACGCCGCGGAAATTTGGGTAATCGCCTGCTATTCTGCTCGAATTTCGGTTCCGGCTCTCCGCGTTTTTTCCCGGACGTGCAACTCGGCTCAGATCGGCTTGCCTTCCGGCGGGTTCTGCGGCTCAACGCGAAGCCTGCATCCATTGGTTTCAATGGTACCGCGGCGCGAGCGGGTCGATATCAGAAGGCAGAACACATACGTTTCACCTTGGTAGGTCGTCTTTTCGTGATTGTATTCTGCGAGCAAATGAAAGAGACGGATATGCGAGTCATGCCGGCAGCGAAGAGATGAAGTTTTGGTTCGGAAGTTCTGGTATTGTTCATGGGCGTCTTCCATCATCGGCTCTCGCGACGATGAGCGTTGCCACGGAACAGCGCCGAGGCGCCGAGATAAGTCCCGGGTGCGTTCGCCACGGAAGAAATTTCCCGGAAAATCCATCGTTCTCCGTCAACTCCTTTCATTCGCTTCTCTTACGAGGCAAGCCCTGAGCTTGTGGGTTCTCGAGGAGCGGCATGGCGGCGGGACTTAGCAGGCGGAGACGGAATTTCCTTTCGAATTCTCAAATCTCACGACCAGGAGAGGGAACCCCGCAGTCTGATGCCATTAGTGAGCCCCGGGGGTCTTCTCGATATCTTCTTCGAATATTGGTGCGATATCATCCGGAGAGTCGACGGGAGCATCTTCCGCGCCTGGGTTGGTTCTGCTCCCGGGCTTCGGGAGAGACCACTGGCATTTACTGTTATGATGTTGCGTGTGACCTTTTGCGTGTAGAATTTGCTCTTATTCACTTGGAGACATAGCCATGCATATGCTCACTCGCGAACATGCACGCTTCGAGCTAATGGGTCGAGCGATGCTAATGTGCGAGGAACAAAATGATGTTTACTCAATTTACCGTCCAATCGGAGGCATGACGCTGCGTCGAGCAGGCCTACCCGCGAGCTTGCTGAAGTCCAATATGTTTCTCTGAGCTTTGCTGTCGGAACGACGAGCGAGCACCCACTCGGAATACAGTCTTGTGCGATGAGAGTATCATTACCGGGGCTATTGATCAAGTCACCGAAGACGTCGCCGCTCCGCGCGACAATCGATCGACGTTTGACTATCCACTTTTGAGCTCTGACTGGATCGGGACGCCCAGAGTCGCGAATCGTACTACGCTGTCGAGATTTTCTGAATCCGGAGCGAATTCTACCTTTTGAGGAATCGGGAGATCGTTATTGGCATTTGTAAGCAGAGTCTCAACTTCAGTAAAGATATAGAATACTAATAGAAGATCGATAGGCTAGTGATTTTCCCTGTACAATTTTCAGAGGCTGATCAGGCTCAAAGATTCTCTGCGATGCATTTATCCCAATAGCTCAAAGATCCCATTGAGTGAATTGAATTGTTTTCGTCTTACAGGTGAATTGCAAATTATCGACGAACAAACTAAAGGAACTGTTCCAAGTCGTAGACTCGAAATCGCAGGGGGAAGTGGGCTATGAAGGATTTGTTAACTTTTATCACAATCTTATGACTCCGGAACGGCTTCTGCCAGATACGCTCAAGTGAGTTTGATGAATATGTCTCCATACTAGCGGATAATAAATAGGAGCTACGTATGATTCCTTTTGTCGAGAGTCCAGGAGGAATTTGGCGGTATCGAGGAGAGAAAATTCGAAGATTCAGACACCCGGCAAAGCCATCCCTCATGGATTCAGCACCCTCGTGCTCGGTTTCTGTGGCAGAGCGGAAGTTCCCCCGGGCAGAAAATCAGAAGGAGAGAATCTTATTTTACCACCACATATATCCCCATTATGAGTTTGAGGCTGTTTCCAGATGGGGAAAAGAGTCTTGTGAAAGAAGATATTCTCTAAGAAAGGAATGAGGCCGCCACGCCATACGAATTCCAGTCCCGGCTCCATTCAGCGGTACTGTTTCCCCCGGCGAATCGGCACTAGTTCTAATGAACTCGTCTGAAGGAGGGAAGCAAGCGGCTTAAGTTAGAACGTACGATTCAATCCCCCCTAGCAATTCTGCAGGAGCTGCTACAGAGAACGGCGGAATACGAGTTGCGAACTCTATCAGAGATGTGCGATGAAACTCCAAGAGTAGCTCGCGAAGAGTCCGTTATTCGGAGTTGAGGGAACGTTCCTCTGCCAAAATGTCGCCAACGATGTGAATCGGAAAAAAAACTCTACGAGACTGCCAGGAATCTCTAGCATCGATTAGAGCATGATCCGAGCCGCGATCAGCCGGCTTGACCTCCTTAGGAAAGCATATCAGACGCCGTCGCAGGGATAAACTTGTCATGACTTCGACCGAGGAACGAAGTTTGCCTTGCGGATTCTATATCTGGAGAGCGTCTCTCGCTTTCATCCCAATTCCCTCGTAGGTTCCCTCGTGGGGTTGTTTCTGGAATGATGGTGATGTCCGAAATCGAGTTCCGGCGCGCGATCGCGTCGGCGGTCTCTGCTCCAGCCATTCTGTCGAACGCAAGATGTTCTGACCCTTCCATGCCGAAATTCCGCTCCCGAGAACAAGCGTCGACCCGCAGGAATTCTTTCGGGCATTGTGGGCTAGAACATCCTCTAGCCGGGTATGCCAGAATGCGATCGGATCGGCGACCTCTGGTTCTGACCGGGGGTCGAAAGATTGATAGCGTCGCGCGGAAGGGACGCGATACTTTCTTTCGATATTGTGCAGACTTACGCAAAGACTCCTATACCCTCATGCTCCCCGAGTGCATCACGAAGCTCTTGCGAGATGCGTGATCGGAGTCGGTCGGCAGGTGGGAGTTAAGTGCATAGACACAGAGATGTCAAACCTCCATTAGTCCATGAGGATCGATGAACGGATGAACACATAATGCCCGGATTCCGGAGCTTTGGCTCTCCTGGAAATTATTCGTTCCTGCCATGGACTGATAGACAGTAATTAATGAACAAGGCCTGAAGTCTGGAGCTCTAATTATCACTTCTCGCGCTCCTCTTCGCTCCGTACCTTGAGGGAGAATTCTGAGTTCGAGCTTAATGACATTCCACGGAAGTTTCATTGCATTTCTAGCGATCCTGAATAGGCATTCGAGGCCTGAGAACCACTAATCTGGAGCTTATCGTCGGGGGCTTTCGGCATGCTATCCAGAGCAGCCACGAATCGTGGAGTCGATGCATGAAACCATAGAAGAGCGGATCAAGTAATTTTTTCGTTTTCCGTCCCCAGGAGCTACACCAGTGAAGACAATAAGAACGTTACCTTAAGGTCGTTTTGTAATTTTCTGTTGACGGTGCAGAAGGAGCCTATAGGAGATGCTGTTATATCGGCGAGGATGAGGAACTTCCTGCAAGATGCCCTTAGGGACACTCAGGAGCCATACTTCAGTCAGCAAGAATTCGTCGACTACCTGTTCTCGAGGGATAATCAACTATTGGATCAAGCCAAATGCGAGCTCCAGCAGGACATGACTCGTCCCTTGACACACTATTGGATATCATCGAGTCACAATACGTGAGTGGAGCCGCCCGATCACGAATCCTCCAGTCCAAGTCCATTGCGAATTCGAGCCTCGAGGGGGCGCATTGTCGTAGCAATTTTTCGGATTGGGCGTGAGATTTCGGAAACTTCCAGGTACTTAACAGGGGACCAAGTCAAAAGTGAATCGTCGTGTGAGGCTTATGCAAGATGCCTCCGGATGGGTTGCCGATGTATAGAACTCGATTGTTGGGACGGGCCCGACGGAATGCCTCACATTTATCATGGACACACGCTCACCACGAAAATTCGGTAAGAATACCTCCGCTCTTGGATGCATGGCCTCATCATACTGACCGGATTTCTGAGAGAGCGAGAGATCTGATGGGGATCTCGGGAACGTGTGGAGTGCATCAAGGAAAAAAGAACGGCAGCTGCCATATTTCTACGCGAACGGAAGCGGAGCACAAAGGAACAACAACTGGCGCTGAGAAGTCTAACGCGAGCGAGGAGGAAATCATGTGATAGTCGGATAGATATCCGCAGATGTTCCGCTCCGATGCCCCCACGCCTAATCAGAAGACATCGAAGTCTCTCAGGACTTTGTTGGCTAGTTTGGTCTGACGACTCTTCGGTCAGTCAGTCAGTCGGTTGGTCGGCCGGTCATTCCGTCGGTCCGAGAGAGCAACCAATGCTCGCGTCTCCTGTATTCGCCATCTGTCTTCATGGTCACAGATGGTCTTGTCGTTATAAGGGAACCTTCGGACCGCGCGTTACAGCGTGTTCGATCCGGAAGCGTCCCGAGCTTCCGCTTTCCTGAGCTGCGGATCATTCATAACCGTTTCACGCCACAATCTCTTCCATCGAAAGTTTTCCTACTTTTGGCTCGAATGCCCCCTCCCCCTCCGCGGAAGATAGAATAGATCTCTAGCGTCATCCAGTGTCTCAGAAACTCAGCTCATCTTCAGTTGGCTCGCTCTCTCGGTCAATCGATCTATCCGTTTATCGCGGCTCGCGAGCGCCGCTCGTGGCAGCCGAAGCCGTTCGGATAATGGACAATTTGATAATGGACAGTTCATTGCCTTCGATATGGATCACGGGGCCGCTACCCGAATATAACGAGCTGTCAATGGAGGTGGTGGCCTCGACATACTCATGCCTTTCATTGTCTCTGTCTTGCCTCTCGTATCTCTCGGGATGCGGTCGAAGTGACCGATCCTGGTTTGTTTCCACGGAGTCGTGGGAACTTTTAGGGGACGGAGGACAATTAGGAAGACTCATACTCGCGTGATGATGATCGTCGATATAATATATGAAAGAGGGATAGGGTTAATAAAGTCAAAGCATCGATGCATGAGGGAACTGGAGCCAATATAACTGAATGTCTGACTGAGTTGATTGTCTGGCTGGCTAAACAAACGCGGATTGCAGGTTCATCGACGTGCTGCACACAATCAAGGAACACGCTTTCGTTGCGTCTGAGTTCCCGTTGATTTTGTCGATTGAAAATCACTGCACACTACCGCAACAGCGTCAGATGGCCAATTTGTTTCAAGAAGTTTTCCGAGATATGTTGTTGATTCTGCCCATCGAGCGGGACGCACGAGAGATGCCTTCACCTCTACAGTTGAAAAGGAAAATCATCATAAAGGTGAGTGAGGAGTTATTAGAGAAAGAATGCGTGCGCTCGTGGCACGAAAGCTACCTCCCAGACTATCCCGAACTGACCGACGGTCCGAGCTAGGAGCATTCTCGTCAATCCCGTCCAGTCCAGAATGCGACGAGTTCAGTGTCGTGATGATCCCCGGTATGCCATCCGAGTCAACATGGATTATGTACGATGGCATCGTAGGATACGCCAACCTTCGAGCTGGCAGTCGATGTATCTCGGTTGGGAGACGATTCGTCTTCGTCAAATCCGAACCGGAATGTCTCCGCCTGCAGGACTCATGGTAAGGTTGCGTGAGAGCGTGTACGCCTGCGCTAGTGTGGGAAAAAGGAATGCCGGCGTCGGGAGAGCAGCAGAAGGGCAAGAACTCGTCAATGGAGAGCCCAACACTGTTTCCCACGGGCCAGCATTGTTTAAGGTTTCGACGCGACGCATCGACGAGGCTGCTGGGCTGAGCATATGAGAGAACCCGATTCGAACGTTCCCGTGACGCTCCAGAAATCTCAGACGACTCCCACTAAACTCTCGGAGTCGTTCGGAAGAGCTGACCGTTCTTCTAGAATCTCTCGATCTCGAGCTCCTGGGCATGCTCAAACAGAGGTTACAGAGGTCCAAGGGGAGCCGTCCCAGGGCAGGGCTCGGTGTCGGCGCCAGGGAAATCGTCCACGGGCTACTACGAGGCATTGAGCCTAGGAGCTAGTCCCCAAATCCCACATAGAACTCTCACAGCCGAAATCCTGGCGCCGCGCCGCCACGGGCAGGGCTCCTCTGCCAACGATTGCGGCGACAGCTTGGTTCTTTGCTCCAACCTAGTGCCCGCCTGTCGTCGCACCAGATGATTTCACTGTCATCTTTCAGCAGTCTACGTCCGAGGTCCCGCGAAAGGCAACAAAATATGTACACGTATCGGAAGTCCGATACGAGATTATGTTACAGATCGGAGATGGGATGCATGGCTGGCGGCTAGGGCTCCGAAAATAGCCAACAAAAGGGCTTCATCAGACCGTCGACTTAGATCAGGAGTCGGATCGACATGACGCTGAGATGACGTACTATCTCTAGGGAGTTCCGAATCCGGTCGCGGTCCGTCGAGCAGGAACAGACTGAGTTCTTACTGAGCTCAAAGTCCACACATCTCATGCTCTCCGGGCCTACTTTCGACGACCACCACTTCCTTTAAGACTCGTGCTTGACGCCTGCGGCCCGACCGGACAATATATGTAGATGACTGTCGCGTGGGAGGAGAACGAGTTTCTCAAGCGCGAACTCGGCTCCCAGTCTAGATGGGGAATCAGCTGTTGCTCATTCGCATCCTGATTTCATTTAATCTTTATCGTTGTCATCATTCAATCGACCTCGTCAGTGCATAGGTCATCCTTATCGCTCGGTTGGGGTTTCCTCAATTTCTCTCCTCATGCTTGTGGAGATTTCATAGTTGTGACCAGGCTTCATTCGTATCTTCGGTAAACTCATGGGCGAACTGGAAAACGACTTGAGCTCCTAGCTCCTTTCTGCTCAAGCAGCTGAGGATGTCTGGTCTCGACTGCGTGGTCGATCCAATCCAATTCAACAGAGGGGGGGACCGCTCGATACCTCAGGATAGACCGAACTACCGGAGGACGATCTGTCTCAGTCGGTGGACCCTCGGGTTGGCCCCGCTGGTCGGAGGTGACGAGCCCCGTGAACAAGGAGCCGCGTCGTGCCCATCCTCGGAGCGTTTCCCATTTTTTCGCTTACAGCGCCAGTCTTCTAGGCTGTGTACGAACTCAGGGAAGGATTGGCCTGGAAGGGTCGCGACTCGCGACCTTCTTCCGTTCCATTTTCTCGGCATCCGCTCCAACTTTTGATATTGTTGGTGCGGAAAGGCTCGGTTACAGTCCCAAGCCGACAGGCCCGGCATTCAGGCGCGGCCAGCGTCCGGATTCGAAGCCGCGAATCGCCGAGGACGCAATCGATGGAAGTCAGCGACGCTATCCATCCAGCCATCAAGTCGACGGATGAGCAGTCGGTTTAGAGCCTCCGGATTCCTTTTCAAGAATGTTCCACCTTATGGCCACGTGTTTAGCGCGCGCGACGCATGCAGCCCCTCGCCATGGTGGGAGATTCGTCATTTTTACGTTTTGGTCCAACACAGAGTCGCTGTACTGGGACAGCAGGGGAGCGATGCTGAAAATCCTCATCTGGATGAGACCCGAGCCTGGAAGGGTCGGGCTCGGGACGATTCAGAATCGTTTCCTACCCTTCGAAAAAATCGAAGTCTGTTTCGAAGTCCAAGTCGGAGCTTACCCCAGAGATTATGCGGAGCGCGGATGCATGGATTCGCATGCTAGAATTCAGATTCCAATTGATTCTTCAAGTTTCTATCCGTATCTTATGATACTGTTCTTATCGGCCGTTTTGTTCCAGCACAAAAAACTCCCTGAAGGATGTGATGAGAAGTTCGTTGTGACTAGGGAGGATTCGATCGGACCTCAGGAGACAGACATTTCGAACTCAGTCAAAAACGGGATTCTGTATCTTGAAGATCCGTCGGAAAAAGAATGGAAGTCGCATTTCTTCACGCTTACGCAATCGAGGATGTACTACGCCGTAGAGGAGCAAATTTCACCTGCACCTGGAGAGGAGGAAGAGGACGCCGAGAAGGAACAGGCCACGCAGAATATCCTGCAGAGAGAGGTACGTGTCCCTGAGCATTACATTTCTCGCGCAGAAATGAATTCAGCGCGCTCTGGGCATTCATTCTCCCAACGGATAGATCCTGAAAATTTTGGAACGCCAGCCTCACTCATCAGCCAGAGAATCGTGCGGAACGACTCGAACGCAAAGATCCATGAGCGGTAGTAGCTCAACTTTTTGCGTCTGAGAGGATTCCCAGGAGACCCTTTCTCCCTCCCTCTTCGCCGGGATCGATGGCTTAAGTTTCCCCTCCGCGAGGTCTTCCGCGAAAAACGCTCCCTATCTGATTAGCGGAACCAATGCCACAAACTACAAGAAGCCGCCTGGGCTCTGCCTGCGACACCGAGTTTTCTCGACTCGGTGGAAGTGAAAAATCAATGTTAGTCGAGCCAAGTCCGGAAGAACATATTCATTGCGAGAGCCGGTCATTTCGTTGAGCTCTCGGGGGGACCATCGGGAACCATAGATAATAACGGCTCTCTGATATCATTGATCATGTACCGGAACGGGCGTGTAATGATGACTTTCGAAACGCCGGAGCTTAGCGCCACCGTTGTGCTTCTGATCGTTCTCATTTTTTGTCTTTATCCGAACAGGGTACCACTTCGGACGAGTTGCATTTCGGAGAACGCTGGTTCCACGGGAAGCTGCCCGGAGGACGACAGAGGGCAGCGGAACTACTACAAGAGTACTCGTACCTTGGCGACGGAACCTTCCTTGTCAGAGAATCAGACACGTTCGTAGGAGATTACTCGTTGTCTTTCTGGAGACAGGTAAGTTCAGAAACCGCGAGGGAGTCTTGGGAGGAATTCAATTCGGAGGGCGGAAGAATCCAGGGCCTTGTTCGCACGACTGCTCGGCAACTCTTCGTAGCAGCTTCTCCTCAGACGTCGTTCTAGCCCAATGAGACATGATTCGAATTCAGGCTCTTCGATGACGTTTGGGATGTCAAAGCCCACTTTGCTCGATTATATGAAGTTTTTCTGAACTTATTCCTCTCAAGATTCCTTACAAGATATCGTCTGAGGAAATGAACTATGAAGCAATCCCCGGGCATCCGATTCTGGAAGCTTATAGCATCGTTCCCCGAGCGGGAGATTTGGCTGGATGAGCTACGCTCGTTTCAAAATTCCGTTCCGCTGACCGATTTATTCTTCGGTGTTTTATTGACGAGCTGGGGATTCACCACGGATGCGACTATCCTCTGATTGGTGAGGGATTAGCTCGATATGAGGCGGACCGCTCGTTCCCCCGTCCCGAAATTCCCCGGGAGCCAATTTGAATTCCGAACATCCACCGGGGAAAATCGCTGGATTCATATTTCATGCGAGCTGACCACTTACAGCCTCACGCCCGGGCAATTCCCTTGGGGAACCCAAAGGATTATCGATTCCAACACCTCTCTCCTCCATCGTCTTCCCTCCCTACAGATTCCTCTCTATGTATAGAAATTTCGGAAGTCCGAAACATCGATCGAATCGTATGCCTCAACTCTCTGCGGAACGTTTCCGTCAATACGCGGTTCCAAATCGAGTCGTCCCGGAACGTGAATCGCATTGAGCGGGCTTCAACGGGCTCAGTCTAAGAGCTTATCAGAGATTCGGTTGATATTAGAATCAGCGTGTCGGAGATGCGAGTTGCGGCAGTTCTGAAGACATGTCGCCTCCCTTCGCCCGGCTCGAGCACTAGTCGCGCGCTTCGCTATACGGTCGATCTGACTGTCGTCGAATGGACTTGATATCCATTGTCAGTGACAGGCGAGCTGGATGCTTTGTTTGTTCAACTCCCTACAGAAGAATAGTTCGCTCGAAAAGTTCGCGTCCATTCACTTGACAGCATACGACGTGGAAGTCCGCGGTGAACGAATCTTGCCAAGTCAGTGACAAGACATACTGTTCCAACAAGCAACCACTTCACTGTGAAGCATTCTACTGGTCACACTCGTTAGATAGATGAACCTTCCCCAAATAACTCACTGAGAGCACCCGGAGCGGGATAAGAGGCTGAAGTGTGGAAGTTGTTCCGGGAAGGAGACGGCTCAGAAGCCCCCGTGGCTTCTCGACAATCGCAACGGCCAAGTCGAGGGAGAAAGTCTCTACCTGATTATTTAGCGAAGCAGCGATGGGTTAGAAGATATAGAGAGCTCATTGTAATTCCTCCTTCCGAAACGTTTACATCTATTAGGTAGCTCTCTATCATCCTGATCCTAGTCGCCCATTATTTCCGCAAACAGAATTTTCCTTTTCTTGGAGCACTGTCTCCACGCTGGGCGTCGTCGCTCTCTCGAAAATCTCCGGGCAGGAGTAACCAGCTGAAAGAATCGCCGAGCCATATACCTCGTTGCTCTTCTAGAGTTAGACCTCCTCATCTTGTTCTTGATAAGCGATCTATCTAGGGGATCAGCTTTGTTCTTTGCTTCTCCGTTTTACGTTTTCGGGCCGGAAAAACGAACAAGAAAGAGGGCACGACTGAAATCTGGCAAGCGACGCAGCGAGGTGGGCGTTAGGCGCAAAAGGGTGAGGGTGTTACGAAACGGTCGGAAGGAACAAGATTAGGGCTCGGGAATAACATTAATCGAGAAAGAACTGCCAGAGGTCTAGAAGGAACACGTCTCTGAAGCAGGAGGCTTCGGCAGCAGATCTCTTTGAGCAGTCTGAATTCGTATTTACGTAAGGAGTATCAGGCGACCACAGTATTGACGGGAACGCGAAAGAGGACTCCGCCAGGCAAGAAGAATATAGAATCTGCGGCGCTACACGTGGAAGAATTCGGTATTCCCTCTCTTGGCAATGTTGACTTATTGCCTTCGTGGGCTGGGAATTACATCGCCCCGAGGGCTCAATGTTAGACCAGGTGCAGTCCTTGTATGTTGTTCTTTGCGAGTCGACACCGCAGCCTATCTCGAGGCGAGTTTACACAACCCTCGTCCTCGAAGAGAGTCCTCTTCTTCCCCTCTAGTCCGCGGACTCAGCGTGAAACAAGACGGATAGCCCCTCTGTCCTTCATCGGGAACACAGAGGATCGAGCAGATCCGTCTCCCCGGAGATATCTCCGTCAATGAAGTTTCCGAATGTCGTTCGAAGCTTCGAAGAGCCGAATCATGTGGGTCCGTGGCTCGGTATAGCGAGTCCGGAACTTACCGCTCGCCGATCTGTGGCCCCGGCGTAGCGCTTCAATCCGACGACCTGTTCGGCGATCAGAGCATATTGCAGGCTTCCGTGGATTGCGACGCAGATCACACGGCACGTCTATTCAATGAGACCTACGTGTCCATCTGCTGTGCCGATAGCCTGCGAAGAACTCTCTGAGAATGGGTCTGGGCTGAACTCGCAATCGAGGGAAAGAGAGGCCGGATGCCCGCTCGTCCAAGTCATTAGCGCAGAGAATTCGGAATCTAATACCCGTCGCTCGGACCTGGTAAATTTCGAATCCGAACGCTGTTCAATTGTGACTTCGGCCGCGCTCGTCACCTCAGAATCTGAGATACTCGGACTTCTAGTTCGTCTGGTAACCGGAGCTCTCCATTCGCCACCGTGGAATTTGGCTCGTGATGGGACTAATTTCGCTTCGCTCACATTTCCGTTCGTCTGATGCATCAGAACAATCCGCTTTGCGCCCGAGTGTCCCAAGTGTTCATTGCTCTCGCATCTATCTCGTTGATGCCGGTCAGCCGCCTGTCGCCCGTGAGCTCCCCGCTCGGAGTTGTCGACTTCTGATGCAAGCGACATCCCTTCGAAACGCCGAGCCTGATCGCTTCTCGCGAGCTCTCCAACAAAACTTCTGAATCAGCATTCAGATGTCGAGTCGACTAATGCGTCAATGTCGGTGACTCGGCGCACGGAGCCTCTCCTCGATTCACCTGCGTAGTCGTCCGAATGAGACTATTCCGCTCGGGTCGCGTGAGGGAATGCGTGGTTTGCAGTTACCACGCGGCAGTAGTGATGAGAACAGGCCGGCGAGAGTCTGATCACAACGATGCCGAGTTCGGAAAAGTTATCTGCAGCATCGCATCCATCATCTTCTGCGGGGGTAGAAGCGGGAGACGGGTCCCGGAAAGAGAAACTTGGTCACGTAATGGGTCTGTTGTAATTTTGGTTTCTCATTCGGAATTCCAGGGCAAAGTGTACCACAGCCGGATCCGAACCAAGCAAGAAAGAGGCCAAACCAAATATTATCTCATCGACACGATGTGCTTCGACACTTTGTACTCGTTGGTCACCCATTATCAAACGCATTCTCTGAGATCGCAGGAATTCTACATGTACCTGAACGAAACGGTGCCGCAACCGAACAGGTGAGCTAAGTGCGGCAATAAGCGAAAATCACTACCGGGTAAAAAGTTCCCAGCGACCGTTGAGAATTCACAGCGGGAGCTTGCCTCAAGTTTCCCTCTCGGAAACGCACAAGTTACGAATCTCGGAAGCCATAAAAGTTTGCTAGGCCTTAGGCAAGGTCACCCATTCCCTTGACGAATTCATGGCATGGACGAGGTATGTTCTCGACTTTTAGTCCTCCCTCTCGATGGTGTGATTTTATGGTCGAGGAAATTCTCATTTCAGCCACGAAGGAAAGGAATGGTATCACGCGACAACGAGCAAATCGAAAGCTGACGAATTACTGAAAAAAGCACCTTGCGACGGATGCTTCTTAGTTCGACCATCCGAAAACAAGGAGGATAATTGCTTCGCACTCTCATTTAGGTGATTAGACATAGACGAAGTCAGCGAGTATATCCTCGCTAATGTACGGTTCGCTCTTGGCTCGGATTCCTTCTCTGCCTTGGAACGATTTCTCGGAGCCGGGACTGAGTAATTTACGCGCAATTTCCAGAGCTGAGGATCAGACCAAGCATTGCCGAATTCGACAAGAAGGCCGACTTTTCCTCATCGGCACGGCCCAGTTCGAGAGTCTTGTCGATTTAGTTTCGTACTACGAGAAGAATCCACTGTACAAAAAAGTAAAACTCAAGTAAGTTCACCGATTCGGATAGTTCAATATGCAATGCGGGGAGTATCCGTCCACCGAGATCCTCCCGCGCCACTCGGATATCCTTTACTCGTCGTTCTCGTGGACGAATCTAAGGGGCATGCAGGAGGCTGTATTAGGCGATAATATGAATTCGGAAACCCCGGGAATTAGTGATAGAGACATTTCTCATGGAACATTCCTCCAGGTACCCTATAAGTGAAGGAGCTGTCAACCGTTTGAGAGACGAGCCGTCCAGTTCAACGTTCCATTCAGACGCAGGTCAATACATGGACCCAAACAACTTCAAGAGCCAAATCACAGTGAAAGCTCTCTACGACTACAGGTTAGGCCCATACTCACTAGTAGTTCGGAGGAAACTACCTGACCTTTCTCGTTGCGGCATGCATCGGACACAAGAATTCGGAAGGAAAGCAAAGCTCTAAGCGGTTTCTGAATGTCAAATATCGCTCTACGGTCTGAGCGGATCTGAACGGGACTCCGCTCATTAAGGGCTCCTGGTGATTCAGATTCAATCCCGGAAAATCTTGAGCAAGCACCGCTGCTATCGAGACTCTTTGGAAGCGAGAAATGCGGCGAACAGGCTTCCAATCGCCGTTGAGTCCGTTTTCTGCCGATCACGCGTTTTCGGGAGGTCGCGTCGTCATTCAATCAATGCGCAGCTAATCATGGACTTGGCTGATCTCGGTCCTCGTTTCTCCTGCTCGGAATATTCCCCAGATTCGGGGTCAACGCACGACCTTGGGCTCGATGAACGCCGTAGTCCGTTTTCGAATTTCGCGGTCCGCAAAATTTGCGAAATTGATGCTCACCAATTCCTTTGCAGAGCACAAAAACCCGACGAACTGTCGTTTCCAAAGCATGCGATCATCACGAACGTTCTGAAACAGGACGGCGGCTGGTGGAAGGGGGACTACGGAGGGAAGAAAGAGCATTATTTTCCGGCCAACTTTGTTGAAGAAGTCGATCCCTCTTGCCAGACCGAGGAGGACGGGGCTGAAATGTCCCCTCTGGGAAGCCTCCAAAAAGGCTTCATAGACATCGCGGGTTGCTCTGTAGAAATTCTGCAAAGCAGAGGTCCCTACGTGTTCCGGATCAGTTCACCGACGAAGTCGATGCAGAAAGACATCGCCGCGCCCTCCTACGAGGAAATGGAGGAGTGGGTACAGAAAATTCGACAAATCGCCCAGTCGGCGAATGACAAAGTGAGTGAGGCTCCCCGTCGTGCCGACGTACATGGCCGCTATGGCGCGCGCCGTGCGCTCGTGCTACGTGGGGTTCTCCCTGGGGCAGCTTCGAGTTACCTCGTTGCCGGGGCACCCAGACCTGAAGCCTTTGATGTTGAAATACTCGAATAATATTGCAAACTGAGAACCTGATTCCCTGATCCGCCATGGTTCCTAACGAATTGGATTCTTTCAGCTGGAGCAGCGCAAAGAGATGGAGCGCAGCCTCCGTTTGGCGAAAGAGCTGTCGAACCTGATCATATATTGTCGGTCCGTACAATGGTGTCCAGAGCGGATTGGGAATTTTTCCGAAATGTCCTCGTTCCCCGAAACCAAGGTCGAACGTCTACTGGTTCCCGGTCAAGTGCAATTCTTCATGCGATATCATAGATTACAGTTTAGTCGAGTTTATCCCAAAGGCAGCAGAATCGACTCGTCGAATTACGATCCCATTAGATTGTGGAATGTAGGCTGCCAGATGGTAGCTCTCAATTATCAGACCCCTGGTAAGTTTCTCGAGAAAATACGATATTGATCTACTTCGGTTTTCGGGTCGAGATATAAATGCCAACGGCGCCTCCCTGCTTAGAGTTCGCGATGCTGAGAGTCTGCTTGGGACGGTGGAGTTGACACCCCGCTCATCATCGATGACGATTAGTCTTCGCTCAAGTTCGCCGCTGCTTTCATTGCAGATCGACCCATGCAACTGAACGAGGGTCGTTTCATAACGAACGGAAAGTGCGGCTACGTGCTCCGCCCGGAATATATGTTCATCGATAACTTCGACCCTTATGACCGGAAGAGCTTACCCGCTAGCGTGCAGCCTTATACACTCACAATTAAGGTAAACCCCCGCATTATTATCAATCGTCACAATACTATCGCAAGTCAACTGGGGCGAACCCTGAAATCAGACCGATTGCGTGGCTTTCGGATTCTGTTTGATGTTCCTACGGCTGGGGTTCCACTATGATCGTGATTTTGCATCGATCTCCGTCGCCCATAACATGGGTCCAGCGATACAAACAGCTTGGACGGATACCTTCCCGCGGTGACATGCAGACGTCATATTTGGGAAGGAGGCTCGCATTAATCTAGGCGTCGAAACAGGGTCTGAAACCGACTGCATCGAGATACCCTCGAAGTGCTCAAGGCGGCTTCATCTCATTAAACCGCAGTCGGAACACTGTCTTTCCGGAGCTAATGCAGTTTGAGCTTTGTATTTCCGCTTACTCTCGTTCGGATAATTTTGCTGGGGATCCGTCCGTCGCCTATGACAAGAGACCTTCTCGGCACCATACTGGGTGCTATTCTTGATTGGTGGTCACATCAGAGCCTCGTGAGCGAAACCACTCCAAGGAGCCTGATTCCAAAGGAAATGAGATTTCGAAGGAAGGAGAACGGACTAAGCCATTTTCGGATTTCTGGGGTGTTCGAACTTCTCCCGACATTATCCGGGATAACCATTCGTGGGGAATCCATCCTCAGCTCCCGTCGTTCGAGCGACATATCTTGGATTCCGCGAAAGTCTACGCCATCATCGATGACGTCCGAGATTTCCTCAGCGGTATCGCGAACCCACTTCAGAAGACTCGATTCGCCAATCAGAATTTCCAGGACACTATCGTTCCTAGACGCTGGCGAAACACAATACCCTGAAGTGTCGACGGCGAAGCGTCCGTCGTTCCGCATTTACGTCATATCGCAGATTCACACGCTCGGCTCTCTCGATAACTCCCATTCGTTGATTTTCATGTTCGAGATTCCAGGAAATGGAATACCCGCGGTGCGCGCCATAATGTGTCGATTATTCCACTAACGAGACTTCGATTCCGCAGGTTATTGGAGGTCGTCATCTGATGAAACCAGGTCGCGGTATCGTGAGTCCGTTCGTGGAAATCGAGCTCGTTGGAGCTGACTACGATAATGCTAAGGTCAAGACCGCCACGATATGTAAGTTGTGGAGAGAGAGAGCTGTCTGACCTCGCTTCCGCTCAGGAATGCGCCATCGGAAAACGATATCGAGCTAGACGGGGTGCTTGAGCGATGAACGATGGCGACTTCGAACGCCAGACAGCACGATTGTCACCGGGAAGCGCGAGGGGCGAAAAATCGGGTTCATGGAATTGTCTCCTCCGCGGACGCATTGTTTTCTTTCGATGGAGTCCCCTGTTGCCTCCGATCGTCGAGAATAATTCGACTCCGAATCGAAAACCCGTCTCCTTCCGCTTTCTGCTGCGAAAATTCTCCCTCCGCAGCAACAGACGAAGCGGCGAGCGGAGAATGACCGTTATTGTGTGGTATCGAAAAGAGTTTTTCGGGGCACAGCAGAAGCGTTTCCGAAAGCACTGACGATGCACAGCAATTACTCGAAACAATTACTAAATCGAACTCTCTTCCTTTCCCAGCTGACAACGGTTTGAACCCTGTATGGAACGAAACCTTCCTCCTGGACGTCGCAAACCCTGAATTAGCTCTGCTCCGGTTCGTCGTATTCGACGTAGACATGTTTGGTGACCCGAACTTTTTGGGCCAAGCCACATATCCAATCTTGTGTCTCCGGACTGGTTACAGAAGTGTGCCTCTGAGAAACGAATACAGTGAGGATCTAGAATTAGCCTCTCTACTGATACATTTCGACATGATTCCCGCCAAGGTTAGTGAACTCTGTACGACTTTTGCCACCTAGCCTCTCCTTTCATCATTCCCGTTTCGGATGTCGAATTTGAGACGTTGTTTCCAACCTGACAACGCTGCCCGACGCTCTCGAGGAAGACTGGTGTTGTAAACTTCATTTTCCCCCCAGCCCGAGGATGAAGTTTACGCCTCTATTCAAAAACTGCGGGATGAAACTCGCGAATTGGACGCTCGTCTCGGTGGTGTTGACGGTGGTCTCGACGCTGAAACTGCTTCCCAGATTCGGAACACCCTACAGGAAATGAAGGAACAACTCAAAACGAAAAACGACCATAGAAGGTAGGAACGAAGGCCCTGGCTGGACACGGGTTCAGACTAGTTCACTACGAATGGTTGTATGTGCCAGTCGATGATGCCAAAGCAGAATGTGGATTTTTGGTATTCGCTGTTGTGCAATCAGCTGGGCGCGCATCGCTCCCGGTATCGGTGGGAAGAAATTCCCAGTTCTACGTTACTGCTCGCAGCTAGGTACTCATGATAATTTTGGGCTCTCACAACGTGTTTTATCTCAAATTACGCAAGCAGCTCCAGGAGAAAGTAGGCGTTTAGGTGAGTTATACCAGATTCTATGCATTACTGGAACGATGCCTATCTGCCGTAGACGCCGAAGCTCTGCAAGGAGCTCGCCGCTCGCCAAGTCCCGGTGATTGTCTGCTCGCTCGAAGTTGTCGTGACTACCTGGACGACTAATTGAGCTGCCTGCTCCCGAGAAGAATCAAGCGGACTCGTTACTCTATTTCGAGATACCGCGACCTGAGCGGACTCAATTCGGCCAATTACACTTGCCGCTGCTAAGTCATTAGCCGTTGCGGCGTCATCCGCAGACTATGCCGCGGGAGCCAACTCGGAAGACGCTGCAAAACGCTCAATCAGTGGAAATTATCAAGAGAGTAAAGAAAGAGAGGTCGCGTGTAGCCCCGATGGACGGCTTTCGGCATGGATTCTGCCTGTCCCATGTCGCTCAATGCCTGCAGCTTCCTCGAAGAAATGACGTTTAGGACAAGAGAGGGCTGAGAGCTTGTAGAGAGGACAATTTCTCACGAGAGAATCGTCAGGATCGGAGCGGGTGAAGAAGATTTGGAGCAGAGGAGGCTTATCAGAACGATGCAGGTCAGTCGGCGATTGTGTGGCTTGGGCCCGAAGAGTGCGTGAATCGGTTTGTCGTGCTGTGAGCCCAAGCAAGTAACCTGCGCACTAGGAGTGGATATCGGTTTGGAGGACGCGGAGATATTCTGACCGCGTTTCTCCGCTCGCCAATCTGGCCCGAAGAAGCGGGCTCGACGGGGGATTGCGGGGGCGAAAGAATACAGAAAACCGCCAGCCGCCTGGCTACTCCTACGACAAGCGTCGGCGTCAAACGTCCCGGGAGTGGAACTCCCCTTAGCCTGATTAGATGCAGTTTTTCAGCAGTGGGAACTTCAAACTGCTGATCGATGAACTTTTTTCCCGCGGAACTCGATGACTCGCTTGCTGCATGAGATTCGAATGCGAAGAGTTCATACCTGGGCTCCCGTCCTATCTTTTTCGTTCCGCATCCCTCTGCCTTGAATAATCCGCGGGAAGGAATCTCGTTTCGGTCGGGGTAGAAGGATGGATCCGGATAATCTGCGGGTATACATATCCAAGAACCGATCTGATGCTTGTACACTTTTCCCTCTGAGAGGAGTGCCTTCGAATGTCGATAACCTTTCTCTTCCCGCCTCAATTTGATGATGGAATGATAACAATAATCGAATCGAAGAAAGTTCCCTTCGGAAGACAGCTTCGAAATGTAGTGATCCAATCTTAGGCTTGTTTCCGCTTTCTCTTTACCAGGCAGCTGCTCCTACAATGTTGATAAGGATACAACATCAACGCGAGTACGACTCTACAGCGAAACCGCGTAATTCGCAAGCGGAGATTCCGTTACAACCTCATGGACTAGCTATGATCCGATGCTGCTCTATCATCGACGTGCCGTACTCGACGAATCGAGTCTTCGGTGAAACCGAAACGCTGACATCGTCGTCTCCGTCTCCTTCCTCTAGTGGAGGAAACATTCAACGATCCATGTTTGTTGTTATTGTTGTTTGACGGTGCCAAATGTTTGATCCTTACAGTTTTGCATACGTATCACTCCTGTAGCGACTGTTCACCGGAGTAGGTGGGGTTGGATGAGAATGAATAATTTAGGTTCGGGGAGTCATCGGGCGAATAAGATCGCTAGTGTCTCCTAGGGAGGTTCGGCAATCTTTCGGGAGGTCTTGTTATTTCGGTGAGGTGCTCCATATTGTGACTTCCATTCCGAGCTTGTGGTTCGATCCGATGAAATTTCGGACCGCAATTCTATGGGTCGAAAGATTTATTGGAACGGTCAATCATTTCGAGCGGCTACAGGTAGTTTGGACTTGAGTTGATTTCGGAAAGGATAGATCCGAATCCGATCGGACTTCCCCGATTCTTCGATTCTATCGAAGCCTGAGATCTCTTCTTCCTTGACTGTACAAAAAAAATGATCTCTCCCGAGCGGGAAATATTAGGACTCTCCGAGTCCACGCATGTTCTGCATCCGGAGACGGATGCTCGATATCGGGTTTACATGCTTGGGGAAAAAAAACTGAATTCGTGCTTCTGGAGACAGAGCCATGGGTTTAGTTCAATATTTTGAGAAGCTGACGACCATCATGAAAATGGATACAATACTCGAAAACTATTCTTAAAGGACAGGAACTTGGCAATTGTTATCGCTCACACTGAAAGGTGATCACTGATCACTCATCATCCGAATGGAATTGTGGGGAGATTCCTATCTATTGTCACTCTGAGCACCCAAAAACCATGTTGACTATGCTGATGACGTAACCCCCAGTGTGTGACCCTGGGATAGCCTATGTAGGTATATCGGTTAGACCGTTATGGAGGTTTTAAATTTGATACCGTCGTTACTCACGGGTAGCAATGACCAGCTCTCCATGTCTCGGGTCTGATCACCGATGTCGGAACTGAAAAAAAATCAGATTAGCATTTACGCCGTAGATCTTGACATTGGATTATTGGAGTCTGCAGAATAAAAATGGAGGGAAATGCCCATCCAAGGTTATATCGAATAGATCGCTTCTTGAACTTGTGTAGGATGACTTTTGCGTTACTCAGGGGCACCATTCCATTTTTGATTTAGTCTGAGCGGAGCTGCTGAAATCAGCGCCAGGCGCTTCTCCGGCTGAGTACTCCACTGGAGTTCACAGTCTCGGTCCTTGGCGCGCGCAAAGCGATAGAACTCAGAACTTCTCTCGAAATATTACGCCACACACAGAAGTGTTGCGTGACTCCCGAAAAAATCTCGACACGCGCTCAGTGGATTCGACTCATGTTTCTTGCATGTACATGTTCTGTGAGAAGCGCAAGAGTTCGTCCGCAGTGCCGGGAAGGCGGGTACCCATTCCAGAACGGGGCTCGCTCCGAGGAACTCACTGCTGCTTGGACCAACGAAAGTTCCTGGTCTCTCATGATGATAGGGCACAGCTGCACTCGCAATGCCCGACTCTCCTGAATCAGGCCCACAGCTCTTCCCATCATGATGAATACCCCAGTTCGGCCGACACCGGCGCTTCGCTGCGAAAGACCTAGGGCGCTAGCTGAAGAGCACAAGTCACGCCAGGTCAGAACGTAGGATTCACGGGAGATACGCTGATGTTCGGGGCAGCTAATACTCATACGATCTCGCCAGTGTCCCGGAAAACTCATTGCCGCAAGTTTGCGAGGTCGGAGGGCACCGATCGAAGTCCCTTTGGTGGGTTTACTTAAAAGAGGGACTAAGTGCCTAGTTCTGCTAGACATGATGGCTTGAAGGGGTATAAGTCCCTAATGCCGCATGCAGTTTGCGGGTGACTCTTGCGTCTCGGCTGCCTGGGAGGAATATATTCACAGATTATGATTCCGAGAGGCGAAAAACGAGCAAGTGTCGAGCGTACGCTTCGAGTTTCCCAGACGACGCACTCGTCCCTTGTCAAGCTCCCTGTCGCTCTGGTTTGCGAACGTGCTTTGCGGGCCTTCTTTAATGCTTTCCTCTTAAGTCCATCCGGAATGCCTCACGGGGGTAAAATCGCGGATCGCCCTTCTCGCATCGGAACTCTCTCGGGACGAAGCGGAAATGACAGCCAAGACCTCCAGAAAACTCACCGATACGACTAGGACTGATACTGCCAGCGTGTCTTGACATTCCATGCCTACAGAAGTCCGAATCTCCCCTGGGGTTCTGGATCTAGTCGCCCGCATACAGGAGCCGAGAACTCCAGATGGGCTATCCGAACCCGCGTGAGTCAGGCTTGCTCAGTCATTACGGCCCGCGGTTGGACTAGCCACCAAGTTCTCTATTGTCCTGATTGAAATTGTCAGGTACACATGGGATGATTTTTTTTTAATTCCGTCGACACAAAGTCACCTGATTGAAGAGTTCTCCACGACGTGGGAAATATCCGGGGCGGTTGTCCAAGAACATCCGACTCGAGCTGTTGGATGGACGTACATAGGTATTTCGATCCTCACCGCGGGAACTCGATCTCTGAGATCCGTTAACAGGAATGATCCCTGATACGAGATCCAAAAATGAAATGAGCTACTGCGAGGTCCCGCCCCTTGGAAAGATTGGGCTCGAGAGAGTGGCCCCCCCCCCAGCTCAGGTCTGAGCGGCGCGCCGCATTGATCGGAACCCTTTTGTAAACAAGCCGAGCTCGCCTTATCCGCCCACGCCTATGGGTCGGCAACTTCCCCAATAGACTCCGAATTCGAGAGGTTCTGCTTTCCGAGAAAGAGGATTCGGGCTTCATCTTCTGCCATACGAGGCTTGAATTCTACGAATCTACGTTCTGTGGGTATAGAATATGAGGAACGGTCCTTCTGATGAAAGCCCCATCGAAGGTCGTTCTTTCAGATGAGTTCCTTAGTCACATGGATCCGGGAAAGCCGGGCAGAGCATGAGTGCCCTGCCTGCTGTGATGCTCTGTTTTTCCATAGCGCCGCCTCCGGCCAAATCCCTACGGCCACATGGCACAGACTAGATGTACATCAATACTGTCGCACATTACCAGGGAAGTCCAGGCTTAAGCTGTCCGTTGGCCCCTTGGGTCCGGAAGGCTCTTGTCTCGAGGGCAAAGTTCTGCTAAGTTGCTTTGCCGTGCTCCGCTTCCCTCCACTGCTCCTCCTTACGCTGATCAGCTGCCCGGCTTGCCCGTTATTGCTGTGCTTCGAGTGATTGACTGACTGCGTAGGGGTGTGTGGGCGGTTGGCCGCTACTGCTCGGAAAGGGGCAAAGGCCGGAGTCCGGCTGCGTACAGCTCAAGTTCGATGTCGAATTACTCTCGCTTGTGTCGCCGTTGCCTTCAGCGAGTCCTCCTCAGTCACGTCGTTAAATTCATTTCGAGAACTTTCCAAATGACCACGAGGATTTTATGTTCCAGCGCGTTATTCGTATTGCGCATGCGGCACATCCCCGTTTTGTCTGATTGCCTTCAGCTTTGATTCCTTGGTCTGTTGAGTCGCTTCCCTCGGTCGTGTCGCTTCCATTGTTTTGTGTGCTTAAGCTGCTCGGGACCTTATGTTGGGGTTGGCTCGGCACGTGTTTGAACTAGGTGGCTGTGACTCGGCGTATGTGCCAATCGGCGATAAGGGAGCCGAATATAAATGAGTGCATGACGTCGCTTATTTGCTGATGCTTACTTTCCTCTGCCACGAATTGCTTGCGGCATTTCTGTCGTTATGGGAGGGAACGAGAAGCCTCGTCGAAAACAGCTTCAGCAGCAGATTTTCGTTCCTGTTCGAGTCTAGGTATTTAGGAAAATTATCTTGCGGCAACTCTACATTGCTCATCTCAAATTGAACCAGCCGAGCTATCTCAAACGAGCTCCCCCAGGACAAAACGAATGCACAGGCGAGTATGACGGCGGGTTCATACACGGGCCTCGAAGGCTACGTATTATACCGAACCGTCGTAGACGTCGGAGATCAAGGCTGCTGCTCAACGAGTCACGCTGATTGTGTGTCTGGTCGATGTTGTCATTGCTATCCTGCGTGACTGATTGAGTCGTCCGCTCCCGCGAAACAATAAGAAGATTTGATACTTTGCCACAGGATGCTGAGACCACAGCGGCCTCGTCTCGGCCAGCTCGGCTTGGCTCCGCTAACTCATCAGCCACCACAGCGTCATCTGCAGATTGTGCCGCGGGAATCAAGTCAGGATGCTCTGCCAGACGGTTAATCACCGGAGGAACAGACGGAGGATAATCGGAGAACCCGAGAGAGGGACAGGTCACCGTGCCCTTCGATTGATTGATCTCGGCTCGGTATACTCCATCTGGTCGCGTGTGCATAGTTCCTGGTAAGGTGAATCGTCGTATGTATCCAGTCGGCATACAATACGAGCTCATTCGGGCCACGCGCTCCAGCTCGAGCTGATTTTGAGACTGAATCCAAAAAATGCTCATCAAGGCGATGCAGGTCAGTCGGTGGTGGTGTTTCCCGAGTTCGGGAGCCGCGTTTGTTTTCCTGCGAGCCGCGTCGGGTCTCTAGCGGGCCGGGAGCGAGCGCCAGCGAATAAGCTGTCAGGGAAGGTCGGGACCCGTTGTTTGAATGCGGGAGCCGCTTCTCCTCTCGCTAATTTAGCCGACAAAACGGACTGAATTGTGGACCGCGGGCGGGTGACCCGCAATCCCGCCGGCCCCGCGTGGAGCAAGCGTCCGCTTTCACCACGAGCCCCGGGGCCCGCCTCATCATACCTGAGCCCGTCGATGACCCCCAACAGCTCTCGGGCCCTTGTAGAAAGTTCAGATTGCTCTGATCGACGTAACCCGATCTCTCCGGATTCCAGCGGTGTCCCTGTTGCATCTGCCTCAGAAGCAGGGTGTTTACACCCGAGCTTCAATTCTCCCATCCTCGTACGTTTACCGCGAAAACCTTCGAGGTATTTGACAGAGGCTGAGTCACCTGGACTAAGACATGCCCGCGGTCTGCTCCCGCAGAACTCCCTGAATTGGGGTTTTCGCGAAAGCGATAAGCTGTAGTTCCATTCTGGCATTCAAAGTCCGTCAGAAGCACTCAGGAAGCAACCATTGTGCACTCTGTCGAGAGTCAGGGAATCCACTTTTTCCTCAGATTCTCATTCCTCGAGCGAAACGGACTAGATCGGCCGCGCATCGAACCCGATCATCGATCCTATGTATCAAAAAAGTGAGACTATGCGATGTCAACGAATCCTGTCGAGCGGAAAAAACGGGATCCTGAATGAAGATGATGTCTAAGCCCGAGTCCATACCCGACTCCTCATGAGAACTTTTGGAGTCTAGAGCTCCCGGCATCATCAAGAGAGGTCTTCCAGGACCTGCGAATCGATTCAGCAACGTCGACTCCGCGGACTTCACGCCGTCGGCTCCAAAAGCGGCATTAGAGTGTTCGGTCTCTTTTTGGCGGAGGACAGTAGCGTGCGTTGTCGTTGGCCAACGGGAGAACCCAATCAGACTGGCCGGAGCAAGATAAGCCGGAGAGACTGAGACGACTGCGATTCGCCCAGATGTGGATTCCCCTTGATTTAACCATCTCACGACCTCGATTCAACCGTTTCCCAGGGCAGACAATTTTACGCACTCTAATCAGAGCCTATCCCCGGCAACCTTGAAAACTCCGAGGGAATTCTAAATCATTTTCTCCAAGCCCCGATGCCGGCTCGAGTACGGCAGCCCCACATAAACCCATCATTGGATCCATCATCTTGCTTGAAGCGGTAGAAAACATGTCCTGTCCAAACCCCATGGAGAGTTAAGCTTCCGTGGAGGTTTCCGCACGTGGCGAAGGCGCTGTCCATTCCTGCCATCAGCTCTGATGTTCCGGTACAAGATGTTCGCTCTGCGACACGATTACCGCGGCCCGAGACGCAGGACCTTGAAAAAGAACCCCCACAATTTCTCCATACAGTTGTACGGAGCGATGGATGCCGCGAGATGATGGATCGAGTCCCGCGCGGCCGGTAATAGCCCTCATCCATCTATCGAATCGAATGTATGTATGTACTTCTGAAATGTTTCCGTTGCGGAAACCAGATCCGAGCAGGATGTTGACCGTGAAGCTGTCGGGCCATCGCAAGTCCCGAACCCGGGAGGAGACCGGTGGGGCGCTCAGGATTTTGCGTCCATGTCGAGTCTTCTTCCGTCTGCTCGGCGTTCGTTTCTTGCAATTCGAAAAGAAGTCGTCCCTCGGAACATACCTCGAGTGGCTTCTCAGGATGACCATGTGGTCGGCCTTGTTGGCGTACGCCGTCGAGAGAGCTCTGTGTGTATTCTCGCTCTTGACCAACATCAAGAACGGTGGGTGGGGTTCATTAATTAGCTTAATCTAATAGAACAGCGGTGTGCTGTAATTCTCCGCTGTGCGGTCAGAACTCGCTGTGTGGACATGTCGTTGTTCGTTTTCAGAGACGACAGTTCTCTCTTCGGACGGAATCCATTCCGTGGTCGGGTACGCAACTTCGGTCATGCTTCTCGGAGGCTTCCTTTCGATTCGACGCCGAGCCGAAGTGAACGATTTCCTCCGCCGAATGGACAAGTACACCACTGCGACGAGGGATCCCCAAGTGTCTTATAAATCGAGCTCGGTGTCGTTCCTCTACGCGCTCCTCTCTGTTCTCGTCCTGCACTCGGCCTGTTTGAGCTACACGACATCGGTCCTGGATTACAAAATCGTTGAAAGAGTTAGCACGGTCGTACCACTGCCGACGGACAACGCGACCTCGGATAAGAGCGCAGCTCCGTCCCCGACGAAAACGTCGAAAACCATATACTCTGACAATTTTCTCGGAGGCCGCTTCGACAAACCGGAAGACGCGGACGATCTCGAGAACTCGAACGACGTAACGGAAAATCAGTCGGCGAGCTCAATTCAACCCGTCGACGTCGACAGCGCGGCAGACGGAGGCGAAGGGCACGGAGACGTTGGAGAGGTCGATGACGAGCTTCATCAGGAGCGTCGAAGGCGCCGACGCTCTGCGAGCGTTGCCGGCGGTCTCCCGGTGAGGGAGATCATTGTGGATGCGGAGCAAATCTCAGAAAACGACGCAAACGAGCTCTATGATACTGACCAAGGTTCAGTCGACTATAACGTTCCGGAGTCGGGGAGGAAGGTTCGTGACCTCTCGACGAGAGCGTGCCCTAGGATGCGGAGTCGATATTCCCGCTGATTGTCTATTCTCTTGGTTGGATCAGAATATTCCTCCAGACTCAGATCACCGCCAGATAGGGGAATTCCAGCCGTGCAACAGAGGAACCATCAATAACTCCTAAGTTTCCCTCGAGCAGATTTTGTTCCGATCGAGGAGAGGCCTCATCGATTCGGCGATAGACGAAGACATTGATGGAGATGGAGTAAACTTCATCGAGCTCTTCAAACCGTTCCGTCTGGCCGTCATGACTACACGCTACTTGATCATCAAGAATATTATATACCTGAGGTAGTCCTCTCCGATTCGATTTCGACTCAGCAGCTCTCGAATAATGAGTTTTCTATGAGACCTCGAGAACGATTGCGTACACTCCGGACGTCTGCGGATCAGTGATACGGTATTTCGCTGAATCGACCAGTCGGGAGTGAGGGAATCTTCTTGGTTTCAGCGTGACAATGATCAGCTGTTTCTGCAAGATAATCCGCGGCCGTCTCCTCGAGGTCAGTTCCCGATGGTGAGCTCGCTCTCAAGAATTATTCCACATATTGGACCGAGAATTCAAGCATTGGAATCGGTTCCATTTCAGGTAAACACCCGAATGCTCGATAAACAGACCCCCGAGTTGACGGTTGACGTGCTGGCGGATGTGCGTCAGAAGCACACTCAGTGCCTCTCCTTGCTGAGAGAGGTCGAACAGAATTTCAGGTACGATACGATGCACTTTACGCCGGCCGCGGTCGGTTCTCTGCCATCGCAAAATTTTGCATCGCTGATCGTTTCCACTTGTCCACGGAATAAGATCGAACGACGACGAGGAGAGCTGGATGTACCCACTCTCATACCCGAAATAAAGGAGCTACTGTCGATCCGAGAGCCCGTTTAAAGTGGCTCTATTATTTTGACCGCGTTTATGCACATATTTCGATGGAAAGTCGTTATTGGATCGAGATCGCATCCGTCGTTTCAGTTTCTTCTGCCTGCTGTGGAACGTTCTGACTTTCCTCGAAATTGTTTACATGGGTCGAATGATTTATGAGATTCATGCCACCACCCTCTACGAGCTCCCGAAGGACCAGCGCTGGATATGGGGTCACAGCGCTGTGCTGTGCGTCGACATCATCCTTCTCACTGTCTTCCATCTGAATTTCATCAACTCGGCCGCAAGTGCGCGACTCGAGGCTCTCCGAACCGTCGACCTCGTAACCATCGGTGAGTTTCTCGCTGCGGAAACTTCCGCGGAGCTAGCGCGGTCCGAGGAATACTGAGGAGCGAGGAGTACATACTATATCGCATCGGTAGATTTCGCCAAGACGGCAGAGTTCCGACCCGATCCGGCAGCGTCCGAACCCGTCAGGGTCTCGCATCGGAATGGAGCCTGGCCGATGTTGGTACCTACGGCAACTTCTTTCGACGGTTCTCCGTTGCGTTGTCCGAACAAGGCGGAAAAGATCAACCAGTTCCTCCGAAGTACATATCCTGACCAGTTCCTTTAGCGGAGGTTCTGGCACGGGGCTCGGCACTGGCGGCTCGAGCTGCGGAATGGCGAAGGTCGGATAGGAACCGTTCCAGACGATTCGTCCGATGACACTCGAAATATTCGGAAATGGTGGCGAAATAGCTCGCTGAAGCGAACAACCCCACGCGACTCAGAGCGGAACGGGACAGAAAAAATCAGAAGCGCCTCTTGAACTTTCGAGCGAGTCTCGTTCGTACGCTCCCTCGCCCGCTCATCCTCATCGCAGGAACGGAAGGAGAAGTGGGCGGGCTGGCAGGCGGCAGACTGTTTCTTCGAGCGCCTCCCTTACTACTTGCCAAACTAGTTCGCTTGCCGACTTGCCGTGAGAGATGACTTCAGGCGAGCGCCCACGTAATCCCTGGAGCTTTAACTCATTACTTCTTCATTTCTCAGCTCATTAGAGGCTTAAACTCGACGGGCTCCGGTAAACGGAGGAACGTGGTGGCGTCACGCCAAGTTGCCACGAGCCGCAGACTCTCGTTCCATCGGAGCGGCTGGCCGTTCGCGGACCTCCGTGACCAGCTTAGTGTGTCCGTTGCCTTCAGCTAGTTCATCAAAACCAAAACGGATCCGGGCAGGCTCGCCTGTCGGAAGATTCCGGTATAAAAGGAACGACGCCCATCACACCCATGGCTGGCTGGTCACTTGCTCGCCTGTCCGTCTGTCTGTCTACCCGCTCGTCTGCCTGGCCGCTCATCTCTCCGTCCATGCGTCCGTTCGTTCGTCCTCTGATTCGCTCTTCCTGCTCCGGCGCACAAGGGCAGGAAGACAGGAGCGTTCCATGTTCGGGAGACGCTCCTCCATCCTCATCGAGAGGCCTGGTTTAACTTTTCAACTTTCCTCCTGCCCGTTGAAAGAGACAGCGGCGGTGTCCGGGACACCGGTTCGGGCCTTAGCGGCCGGCGGACAGAAGAAGCCGTCAAGGGTGCGGCGAGCTCAGTGACACGCCTATGAACCGCAACTTGCCGTCGCAAAGAGACATAGACTGCGGTCCATGAAAACGAAGGACGCTAAGGAAAAATGCAAAATAAGGACATTCGACGGAATTATGACGTTCTTATCTTCGTCCAGCGTACCGAGGCAAATGAGACTCCAAGATATTTGAGCCCCGTGATGGGCCTCAGGACCGATCGCGAAGCGAAATGTAACGCACGCCCGTCATGGCGTCTCTCTCGCCGGCCCACTCTAGCCTCACTCCCTCCTTCGAATTCCCAGTCTGGGAGCTTCGATGGGCGAAAAAGCGGAAAACAACTATGGATCTCTCCGCGCAGCTCCACGATGACGCACTCGACTCTCTCCTGTCCCTTGAACCGTGTTCCCTATTTCCGACAGGGATTGACTACTCGTCTCAGGGAAATCGTTCGCTTTCTAGGAACCGCCAACATACCACCGAGTCGTATCGAGGCCCACCAACAGGCCGAACTGCTGGTGTCGGTCGCAACGATCCGAGATCCGGGTCTCAGCGTTTGGGACATCTTGCCTCAAACTCGAGTTTTTGGGTACTTTGTCCTCTTGCTGGCCTACATAGTACTGTATGCGCACATCCAGTTCCTCAGGGACGGTAAATGGAGGGACGTATTTGGACAAGTTCTACAAAAAAAGCGGGTACGTCCATGATTCGTGTACGCCGCACGAATCCGCCTCGTTCTTCGTTCTCCAATCCTTCAGACCGGTCTCCGCTTCGTGCGCCACAACGGGCATGGGCTCTCCCTATGGTTCCCGCAGTTCTCTCTATCGCGACGAAATCAATCACGAACTTGCATGCATTCGGTTTCGAATCCTTGGAAACGGTTCTGAGATTTTCTCCCGCTACCAGTTTAATTCAACTCAATTCCAGAGCAAGTCGAGCCGCCGGAATCAGATGAGGAGAGCCTCATCGGGGAACTCGACATGGATGTCCCAATGTAGGGATAGACTCGCTGAGGAAATCTCGCTTGGGAGAGCCTCTTCGGAGCGAATTGTCTCGGTGATGACCAGAATGGATCCGAACGAGGTTGTGTGATCCACAATTGTGAATCCTGATTTTGCTGAGGCTGAGACGCCGCTGACGAATCCGAGAATCAACTCACCGGTCTTGTTTTTGTCCGTTGACTTCCCCCCTCCCACCTCCCTCCTTAATCAGGCTAATTCGATATAAGCTGGAGACGATGCGATCTCCCTGCGTGCCCCAGGGTCTGCTTCGGGCATCCTCCTTGGTTCCCCGAAAAATGTGAATAGATTTTCTCTCTGGCTTGAAAGAAAATAGAAGCAGCTCCGTTGACGAACCTGGATGCGGATTGTTCCATGAACGAGAGCAGTCAGGCGCGACTCTGAGAACCATTGAGCATCGAAAACTGTCGGAGATGACCTTAATAAGAAAAGAAGGGCTGGGTTGCCGATTACGAAAATAGGACGTGTATCATTGACATCGGAAGAACGGAAAAATGCAGACAATTGATGATTTCCTCGGGTGCAGTCTCAAGTGGGCTAGAGACCCGGCTGGCTTGTCTCTCATGCCCCCAGCTCAATGAGGGCCCTTGAGAACATTCATATTTATCACACATTTACTTCAGGCGCACGTTCAAGGGCGCAGCAACCCCCAGACATCGATATTGTGGCACTCACTGTGTACTTTCCGCACTAAACGGCTCTAATAGTGCGACAAACACGTAGCCGATGGTTTGTTTGCTTTCACTGCCTCATCTGTCATAGGGGTTGGTCGGTTTGTGGGTTCTAGGATGAGTGGATGCGGGAATCGACGGCCGTTGGCCGCGATCGGCGACTCAGCCATGACAGTCTGCGACAAACTTCCCGCGAGGTTAAAGGTTCTAACAGACTTTCCATCATGGTTTCCGCCATGAAAACCGATTCCAGTCTGGTAAAGACGTGCGCTTTCCTCCTGAGGATTTTCTCAATTGGAATCACTTGGCCACCGAAGGAAACTGCTCACGGAACAAAGTTGCTCATCGCCGTTTATCGGGTTTCTCTCTGGACGACGATTCTGTTCTACGCCCTCTCGAGAGTTGTTTACTTCCTTTCTCTACTGAGTTACTCAGGTAGTATCGAGTTCCATCAAGCCTCGCGGAGAGCGTTCTCGGAAATCACAAGTTCTCGAATTAATTTTGCACTGCTCCATTCTTCCGCATGCTTTCCCGGTTGATTTTCCCCTCCGTTTGCGAGTCGCGGTGCTTCTTTCCTCGACTTCAATTCTCCCGCTCCGTCCGCTTTTCAGGGTTTATTCGCTTCATAACACTGGACGGCCTCGACGACGCAGCATTTATCTTATGCTGCTTAGTTCTCCTGACTCAGAGCTACAGAGGACTTCAACTCAACGATCGACTTGACGTTTTGGCGTTCGCCGGTGGCACCGGTCGACGGCGCCGGAGGCCACTCAAGAGTTATGTTGCTACGAGTTTGTTCTCTGGATGTTTACTGTTTCTGCTAGGCTCTTCATCAGTGTTAGTTGTTCTCCGTCCGGTTCTGGACGAGGCTTTGCCCGAGCCCGCACCGAAATTTATAACCACGACGGAAGCACCGACAACCACTAAACGGAGCAACATCGCAGCCGGGGGCGGGGGACCCCCCAGCGGTGGGATGGGCCCCAAAGCGGGGGTCGGTGGCGACTTCGATGGAAACGCCGGTGGTGGGGATGGAGGGTTGCGAACTGCGTTCGGGAAAGGCTTGGGGGGACAGGGGGGCCTATTCGGTATCGGGAGTGGAAATGACGCAGGTGGCAGCAGTATCATCGGTGCCGATGGAAAGATCACTTATCATTACGACAGCGATTTGAAGGGAAAAGAAGAGAAGAATTTCGGAGGCTTTCCATTCGGTGAGGATGGGAACCTGAAAGGGGGGACGGGAAAACCCAGATCACCTGCAACTGGAGACGGTATGGCCAGCCTCAAGGGTCTGTTTGATGAAGAGGCTGGAGGGCCCTCGCGGAAACTTGGGGGTTTCGGCGTGTTTTCCGGTAATGGAAATTCTGTTAAAGTTGGTGGACTCTCGTCGGGAATCAGGAAGAAGCGTTCTCCGGGAGCAGGAGAGGAGCTCCTAGCTCCCCAACGCTTTGCTGCTGGAATGCAGGATGTAAGCTATGGAGCGGGAGCCGGTATTCCACGTATAAACCGGGGAATAGCAGCAGGATCCGAGGACATCGAGGAAGGTCATCTCATCCTCGGAGTGGGATCCGAAATATCGCTTGGAACAGGGTATTCATTGGGAGGAGAGGATACAGGCTCTGGAACTGGCGGGCCGAGCGATTCACATAATTCCGTGGGGGACAGCATCGGAACGCCGGATGGATTCTATCAATCTGACGAAGGGTCCGGCTGGTCGCTGGTTGAGGACGCGGCATATGAGAATCGCCTCGAGCGAGTGGAATCTCCCCCGAGTCGTGCGTTGGGAAGGGGGATCGTAGAGCTCTCAGCGCGGGTCGAAGAAGTTCGGCGGAGTCCCAATCCCAATCGTCGGCTTGTGCATGGAGGAGCGGGTCGGCGCGACTCACCAAGAGGAGAAGAGCAAGCTGGTCGCGAGACCTTGATCAAAGGCAGAGATCGCAACGAATTGGCGGAAGTTTCAAATCCAGCGAGGAGCTTTGATGCCACGAATAAAGAGCAAACGCTTCGGGGAGGCCTTCTACAGCGTCCGAGGGACGGTTGGGGCGAACTAAGAGACTCGATCGCCGATCAGGACAGCCCCGCATGGTCTGTAAGTATTTCGGAGAATCCTTAATTTGGCGTCACGGATACCGCCTGATCGAGCACACAACATGACAAGGCGAATAATTCCTTTCACAGGAACGAGTCTCAAGTCGACAAAGACGCGAGCTGGTATATGTGTCCGAAGAACAAGTCAGGAATACCACATCGAGGCGGATTTTGGATTTTCTGCGGCAGGGGTTCGATGTAACCATCTGGGTGCGCTTCGTGATTCTGCGAAACTTTGGACTGTTGTCGTGAGTTCCTTCTTCCTAGTCTCTGGGGAAGCGCTTCGAGCGAAGCAAATTAGCGGCGGGCTCTCTTCGGAATAGAATTAGAGACAATCGGAGGATGAAAACTTGGGCCAAAGTTCCTCTTCCACGAGCTGCTCCGGAAGGGGATCTGGCAATCCCAGCCGATGACGGAATGGGTTTAGGCGCCCGGCTTATCTCGGTGCTGAGTTTTCAATTAGGCGCTGAAGAGTTGGGAAACTCCTGGAGGCACCGCGCCGCTCTCTTAGGAAGCCGCAGTGCGGGCTGTCGGATCTAATCAAATCCGATGTCGATTTTACAGGGTGGCATTCTCAGCTGCGACATGTTGGACCGTCAGAGAGCAGCTCCGACGGCTGAAACGAGCTTTCGACCTATCGACAACGGATCAGGAGCTTCCGTCGGCGGAGGTTCTCGCTGAGATGCGACATCGTTTCCTACAGAGCACGATTCTGTGCCGATTCATAGATCTACACTTCAGGTAGGTAGTTTCAAGAGCGGTCGGAATCTGAGAAATCAACTCTTGGAGAAAGTTCTACTCCCGAGTCCGCGATCCCGACCTGCACGAGTCCTGTCTTCATTTTCCAGGCGCTTGAGCCCTGTGTGGATACTCATCGTTTTCATTGACGTGCAACTGCTGCTGAATTGGATCCACGAGGTGCCCCCATCGCTGGAGAGCCTCCCGATGCCACCAGCGACCTTGATCATGATTCATCTCGCGGCTTTCAGCCTCTTGCACATTTTCTTCACTGAAGGGGCAGAGAATCTTCGACGCGAATTCGGGAGCACCCTACAACTCGTCGCTACTCGTACGTAATGCAGAAACGTTCCGATGGAGAGACGGGATAGCCCACTCTCCTCCTGACGATCCCCTTGCCCCGTTTTTTTATTCGATATGAAGTGTCCCCGAAACAATATCGAGGAGTAGTTCCGCTGATTGGCAACGCCGATTCACACGGAGGCCATGATACGGTCTCGTCTCCCGAATTCGAAACTTTCCGTCCTCGGAAAACGACTCGTTCAATCGTCTGTCTACTTCACTTGTCCGGAGCTTCCCGAACAGGAACCCCTTCCTGGTGTTTCCCGGAAGCTATTGCTAAATCACTTGTCATATTGTCGAGTCCGAAGTTCTCTGAACACCCCACAGAGATGTTCTTTCTCTTGCTTGTCCTTGTCGCTGTGCTTTTATTTGTGGGGCGCTATTGCTCTGTCTGCAACGACAACGCTCACAATGTCGGACTGACCACTCTTCTCCAGAAGGCTATCAGCGACCGATCGCCTCTGGCTGGAGCATGCCCGAGACCCATGGGTTGAATCAATTTTCGGTTCCATCGAAAATGTGCCATCGCATTTATTTTTGACGCCTGCATGCCCAGAATTTTTCTGGGGCGTCGATAAATGGCGACATATCATTGTGGACCCTTCTTCTGCTGCGATTGGCATCCGCGTTATCTGAGAGGATTTCATGTTCTGTTCCTCCTGGACCTCTCTTACTGACTTGGCGGGTCAATCAAATCAGGCAAGGTCGGATTCGAAACTCCACTCCGCGACGAGCGCGGAGGAGGCAAAGGGAATGAATCTTCCTCCGACGGTCCTCACAGATAGAGATGAAATATCTGTCGCTTAGCACTCACTGTTCCCGGCGCCTCGACTATCTCATTGAGTCTTTCTTCCCACGCTCGACGATCCATTCAAAATTTCATCCCGTCCGGGTCACCTCTCCGCTGTCATGTCCTCGTTTCCAATTCAACAGACGTCGAAGGTCGAATCTGCAGTCAGTGAGAACAAATATGACCGGAGGAGTAATCGATAAGGCTCCTCGTTCGTTCATCGTCGACCCCCCCCTCTTTTCCCATGCTTCCTGAGGAACACATGGCACATTGAACTCTCCACTTTTCTCCCGTTTCCAGGCATGGCGAATGTACCCGCGGAAGCTACAGAGCTCTTAGGACAGGCAGCTCTTCTGATATCGGCCGGAAACTCCTCACCGATCGCTTCGACATTCTCCGGGCTTACTCCATATTCCCGAACTGTCGGAATCGGTGCTCTCTGCGCTTCCTTAATCTGTAGATTCTACTCAGGAAACGAGTGATTGTTCGGTCGCGCTGCTGCACGTACTGCGCTTCGTCGACACCGACGAAGATCGCGAAGTCATTTCTGTCGGTGATGCGATTAGTTGTTCGCGCCACACATGGCGGAGGTCCCCGATCATATTCTGCAAGTTGCGAACTGTTTCTGTTCCTGGCGATGTTCGAGAAAAAAAAATATCTAAGTGGAGAAGGAACCCCGGCGCGGCGTTAGAGACAGCCGCAAATGTGGAGCGTTTCTCGTTCCCATTTTTTCTAAGCACACTCCCACTTGCGGGACTTGTCACCAGAGTCACGTCGTATTCAGTACAAATGATAGGTTCGTGTCGGACGCAGGTGTCAGACGGCTGGAACGGGGCAGTCCCGACACATTCCTTGGTCTTGTCGGCTGTAATGTTTTCCGAGTAGCTGACGCGACGTTTGGCCAAAACGTGACTCCAGTCGAAATATTTACGTGGAGCAAAGTGACAGCGAGACACTCGCTTTCCGACTTATCTGAGTTTAGCTGAATATTGCACCAGTTGAGGCGAAGCATATATCCTCGGTAGAATTTCGCGTCTGGGATGATGATGATTTCCATAAAGCTCGCGTCTTCCCATGCTCCCCGCCTGGAACTCTTCGGAAGATCACTAATTTCATTCCGTTTGCAGCTAGGAAAAAATCATTTCGTGCGGTCCACTAAGGTCGCACAGATTCTTCGTGGTATTCTCCTATTGAAGTGCTTATTCCGGGAGAGTTGACCAGAGACGCAAGGTCGACATGCAGGAGGTCTGGTGAGCCGAGCGCTCCCGCCTTGGATTAGGTGGCTACAAGTTTCTGTCTCCTGTACTTGCGACACGAAAGTTCACGGAAGACGAAGAAGCTCGAATCCTCGACAAAGTTGCAGACTTCAGATATGCGCATATTCAGATGAAGTCGTAATCTCCTACACCGACTTCGTTTCCTTGAAGGCTCCACTGAACATGCAGCGAACGGTGGGAATATCTTCGCGTGTCGAGACGACTCCGCCGTCGCGCGTCGGTTCGGAACGACCTCCAGCTGGAACTTAGAACAGGATGACATGTTGCCTGGGATTGCGCATCGCCCGATTATAATACAGCGAGGAGAGGCCCGGACGGAAAGCGATACTCTGCGATGCTATCCATTATTATCGATGGAGACGCACAGAGCCACGACAATAGAACGGGCGAGAAGGTTTATCAATCAGCTTCGGGTGAAGCGATCACGGTTTTGCCGCAGCGACATACGTGACCTTTGCAGGTATCGGGAGGCGATGCCTCAAAAATCAGATGGACGACTTCAAACCTCGAGCCGCGAGCGTTCCTCGAGGCTCACCGTTGACAGAGCCGAGACTCTCATGAGAAACGAAGACGCGAAGGTTCAGAAACGTTTGCCGAGGGGAATATAGCGGACGAGCTCTTCGGTGGCTGCTTGGCTGGCTGGCTCGCTCTTCTCAGTTGTGTGCTGGCGAAGTTTCTTGCTAGATTATTAACACTTCTATGCAAACGGAGACGCCCGGTGGAGGGAGCGGCTCCTCGGCCCTGATTAATTACAGCCGATCGCGATAAGATCGCGACGCTCCTCATCTCGCTCCTGCCGAGGTTGCTTTTGTTAGTCGAGACACCGCAGCGGACGAACCGTGCTGTGGGAGCGCTGCTTCCGAGACGAAGAAGTGAGTCGCTCCCTTGTCTCCGAGAAAAATGCTTCTTTGATGACTAGAAGTTTCATAACACACTTATATGCTGCCTAGCTCGGCCTGCTCGGCGAGCGAAACATCGGTCCCAGTCTCAACCATGCCTAATATATATAATGCCATCATTTACTGTCCCTGTCGTGCCGCAGATGGAACTTCCCGCCCTGAAGTTGCTACGGACGATGAACAATGAGTGTACACACACATATATAGTAAATTCACGAGGGATGCCTGAGTCGTTTCGTCTCTATTCACCCCGGACACCCTTACAGTCAGGTTGAAAACCTCACCCATAACGATTCTGGGGGAGTCGCGAATCGTCTCGTGACTTTCTCCGGACCTCTGCCCGAGAACTCCCGTGGTCCCCCACAGTAAACCGGACATTCGAGCTCATTGATATCAATTTCCTCATTATTACTCTCCCTATTTCATATGACCGCAAACTCCCTCCGACCTCGAAAAACAGTGCTCTCGAGCAGAAAGGAGTGAAAGGCGAAGAATTTGTTGACTTTCCAGCACATGAAGGCATCGCATGGCTATTGACGCCAATGCGCTGGAAAAATGAACAGATCGAGTTCAGCATTTCCATCGGGCCATGGTGGACGAACTGTACGTCCACAGGTCTCAAGGGGCGCTGAAATAGTCCCTTTTGTTTGCCCATGGGCTGTATGGAGCTGAGCAACGCGATTGCGATTCTAGCGCCGTATTCACGCCGATTGGTCAGGGACGGCTCGTCTGGAGGGGTCTCCGTCTCATCGAACGGAGCGCGGAACCAAAACGAGTCGGGTGTTGCTTTCGGGAGCCGCTCCCGGCAGGAACGTCTGCGACTCCTGGTTCCTTCTCGTGGAGGGGACAAATCTGTTCTCCGATATCTTCTTGCACTGCTCTCGTTATCGACGTTTTTCAGCCTCCGCTACTGGTGATTTTCAGCGTGGATTTTCTTATGTGTATATTGACGGTAAACGGAGAAATCTCGAACGAAAAGGATGGCGCCTCTGGCTCATTGAGCGAGCGCGGAATCACTCGGCTACGGGATGGCTCCATCGTCGCGTCCGCTTGCTCCGGTTGGTCACTGATCATCAATATATGATCTGATCTTTATCGAGGTGATACACTATATTTAGGTAAAATGCAGCCAGCAGAAATATTTTCAAGCAAGCCTCATCGTCTTCCCTCGAGGTATTCTTTAAAATCGAGGTCGTCAGGAATTGCAGCGAACAAGCGTCCGTCGGGAATCGAAGATGGCGGAGAAATCCTTCGAATGCAGCGATGGAGCCTCGCCGCGAGAGTCTCGGCACGGCGAACGCTACCAGAGACCGTTCGACCGACCGACGACGACGAATCTTTTGCGACCATCAGGGATTCCATCTCGTGTTCCCGTCCAAGAAGCTCGCTCGGACACTCCGCCGTTCTTTCGCATCCATGCACGATGACGACGTCGACATCGCCATGCAAATATATGAACACGTCGACGCTTTCCGAGTGCAAGCTCTCGGCTTCAGTTCAACACTTCCCTCGGCGGCTGCCGCGGCATCCGCAGCGAGAGCGGAGGCCGAGGCCCGACAGGAAGTTCGGGACACTGGCTCTCCGCCGCATCGGCCGTGATTAATTCGTCGACTTCTCTAGGAGTCGAGCTTTTGTCTCGAGCGAGCTAGCGGGCTGACGAACGAACGAGCGTGCGAGCGGACTGCGGAAAGCGTACCAGCCTTCATCATTCATATCCTCCACTTCGTACATATCTGCGTCCAGTCGTTCACCATTGAAAGCTCGTTTCGCCGGTATCAGCCCTGTTCATAAACTTATCGCCCTCGTCGTCCTCGTCGAAAGTCGGTATCATTTCGGAACTCATTTGGCTTTTTTCCCCTCCGAAACATCGTTCATCGGAAAAGGTATCGTTCGGGATGAGAGCTGGATGCCGGCATGATTCATTTGCCATCCCGAATCGAGCTCTCGACCCGTCAGCTCTCTCAAAAAATCTCCCTCGACGTTCGCAAGAGCGATTCCGATCGATGTTGCGGGGGGAACGACACGTGCGAG